AACCTGCGGTGGTACCGCTGACAGGTTGCAGATGTACGCTATCCAGATTGTTAATGAACGTTTCACAGTGGATAATTGACCATAAGAACCTTGACTATCGTGTCTATTCTGTTATTTGCGAGTAGCTTTACTTTTGAAGGGCACCACGTTGGTGCACGTGCTCTTGACAAATTCAGCTGCGCGTGACTGTTAGAAATATATCGCGTCCTCTGGGATATTAATGTTTCGTGTTAATTATCCTTTTTATGAGACGGTTTTGTGGAGTGCGAAGCGCGTGAAGAAGGTAAAGCTTTTTGGACGTACGTGTTTACTGAAGTTCGCTAAGTCTCTCAGAGAATTTCTAAGTTCATTTTGTGTCATTGCAGTGTTCTTGGAAGTCTGAGAATTTAATACTAAGGAAGTTTTTGCAACTCCCCTAATGGGGTATTTTGGGGCCAACACGAGAAAAAAAATTGTTAATAAACATAAAGCTTAAAAATCCTAACTGGCATGAGGCACATCAGTTGGATATATACAAAGCGCAGCCCCGGCATGGAGTTCAACTCAGGGCAACAATCTTATCAAAAAAGGTGCTGGATCAATTGTAATATAGGCCTGTTACTAAAGCCAGTCTTATCAAATACATTAAGGCAAAAAAGAATCCAAGCGGCAATATTTTGCTCTAAGAACAACAGTGGCAAATGGTGAAAACAAATGTAGAGACAGTATTGAGTCCGTAGTGACAGACAATTTCTCTAAATCAAATCCGCTGACCAAACGTGGTTTCTACTTTCGTCTAGGGTATGTGGTTTTCAGGGTCAATCGCCCGTTTAAAGAAGGTGATTTTTGCTTTTTCGTTCTGTTACTTACCAGAACTTAGTTTGTATCTTTCGAGATAATATCTGGGGTGGGAAGCAAAGCTTGAATCCTACCAAGAAATGATCGTAAACATTTCATGCTTGGTCGCTGGCTCATCATTGAAGTAGCTGTCACTTTTAGGTGGAATTGTCGGCTGAATTTGATATTTTTAGCAAGTCAGTAACCTCTGACGATGAACATTAGAGCGAATCAATAGCCAAAGGAAAATGCAACTTCCTTTGAAACTCATTTTAAGGATGATTCCTTGCAGAAAGGAACCCATGCATTGAGCCTAATTATGAGACTGAGAGTTCACGGTAAGCTTTATTTTGACTGATGTAAAATAGCGGCTAGAAGCGATAGTTTCTTGTGAGACATTGATCATGAGATAGGCTTCTTTTAAACGTATGTCTAGTAAGTCTGTCTGTGTAATTTGTCGCTGAAAACTCAAAATGTAAACATTACCAAAATATGCAACCGGCCCGCAGAGATTTTTACAGAATTAGCGACTAGAACATTAGTACTAATTAGGACTTTGGTCTCAGTTCCAGGATCGGTGTACTTTTGGAGAAATTAAGAAAAATATGTTAGTTGTTTTACTCTTTAGCCAAAATGGCCGAAAGTGTACCTTGGTAAATCATCGATTCCTGTATTTACATTAACTCTCATGAAAAATTGAATGCGCCACAATAAAGATAAACAATATCACTATATGTGCTGTAAGTATTAAGTTGTATCGTCCAAACAGACGTGAGATTGAGAGATTTACATTTTACACTTTTTAGGCAAATTTTTGTTTGTAAGTATGGCCTTTCCGCCGAGAACAATCATCCATTGTTACCATGGCAACAAAAGTGTTGCAACCTCTAAAAAGGGCATTTTTGTGCATCCCCCCTGAGTGCCTAGCTGCATGCAAAATTTGAAGGAGTGTTGAAAATTTTCATTTACCAATTTGTTTGATTCTTACAGAGACTCGTTTTTAAGCTCCGAAAAGTTACTGCGTGTATACAAGTAGCAAGATTTAGGTGTAATTATTTGTGACAAGCTTACTTGGGACTTGGAATGCTTTGTGCGAAACATTCGATTTATCAGGGATATTTGAACATTGCGGTTATCAAAAAGAAATCATATGTAAAAACAGTTGCAATCGTGTGGGGCTAGTAAATAAGAAGTAATGATGGGTGAAGTCTCTGTTCCATCGCTGAAAAGTAATTTATCATCCAGTCAACAAACATCATTGAAGTGTGGACGTCTTGTATTCTGCAGTATACACCTTTATTGATATATGTCGGGCTATACCAGCAACTAAACTACTCTCTACATCTAGTTACAAGCTCGGCTTTTACAGGTATGGTTGAGGATCTAGCACGTTTCGTAATATTGCAGCAGATTCTATTTACTATTCTATTTAGCCGGTACTAATTTGTTAAGGATATCGAACAAAAGAACAGCCTTTTTTTTATTAGATCAATTGTCAATTACTTTAATTTGCGTGCCTAGTTGTTTATAGTCATTGTGTAGCCGATCTTTGAATCTCGAGTAGTTTTTATTTAGCCTTTTATGATTTGTTTATGTTAATTCACGTTGATTGTTGTTATTTTAATCGCGTTATCGACATAAGCACGTAAAGCGTTTTTTTCATGCCTTTCGCACCAATTCAATTAGATTCATGCTTTCGTTATAATATTATTGCAATTTCAGTTTACGATCGTGATCGTGACCGTGATCTAAATAAACACCGTTGATAGTCATCTTGGCTTTCGTGGTTTCATTACGACCGGTAAAATAGTTCCCACATCAGCGACACTTAGAAAACACGCATAGCGACATCCCTCGAAGTTTCCTCTTTCGTCGCAAGCGTCACATAATTTATATCCCATATTGCAGAAAGAGACCGTTTTAGATCACTTCTGACCGTGATTTGAGAATATATGGAAAAGGAATAAACAAAATATTATGAATTTATTATTTCAAAATTTGGTCTTTCATAATAAAAGAAACGTAAGTTTCAAGGGGTGTAGGCAAGGGAAGCCGTCTAACTCCCTCAAAAATATTTTTATAATTCAATTTGAGTTGGTTACGTATCACACAGCGACAAAGATGGCTTAGCTGTCTGACATTTCGAGAACATTCCATGAGCCAGGCCTGAGTATCACGTGATATGGCACAAAACAGAGTTGACCCCCGACCCAAGGCTACAAGGCTAACCACAGCTTGTGAGTCACATAACTTGCGGCAAATGTCCAAGCGTTGATTCTCAGCGGCTGTGACAAGGGCTGTTTTTCCAAAGACCGTCTCAATACTAGGGTCTCCATGATAAGCAAGAATCAGACAAACGCACTCCACATCTTTGGCCAGATGTAAGGCGATTCGTCCATTTCTGTCTTGCAAATCAACATCAGCGCCAAACCGACATAAAATCTCTGTAGCTGACACTCGTTCAGACTTACTGCGCCCGTATTGAGCATGCATCAGCGGTGTCGCTCCCCAACAGCTTGCCAGATTTAAAGGCGTTCCGTGACAACAGAGTGCTTCTAATACGTCAAAACGGCCGTATAGTGTTGTCATGGCCACAGGTGTCTTTCCCATGCAGTCTTGCGCAGACATGTCGGCCCCATTCGCCAAAAGAATCTTACGCGGCAGATTGGGCAAAATGCAGAGGTGTCATACAGGGGACTGAGCACGTGCTAGAAATAAACGAACCGGAAGTGATTTCATCTGATTTCGTGCTCCATACGGCTTCTCTGTTGTTGACGTTTGCCCCGTGACAGCAAAGCCATTTTACGACAGCGATGTTGTCATATTCCACGGCTATTCTGAGTGGCGTGACAGGAAGCCCGTGAAGTGAGGTCCTGAGGCTCGCCAGAAAGTTGACGTCTATCAGTCCTAACGTTTACATGTAAGATCTTATTAGGTCATCTCCTATTTCATATCGCAATGAATCATCTTTATATCATTACGACTGCACGGCTCTAAAGGCTCAATGATACGTCACGTCCCGCTCTGGCGAAATCATCACTGGAAATGAAAGTTATAATTCTAAAACTGAGGCCATCAGAAGAAAATTTTAAAAAAGATTGAAATTGAAGACAATAGTTTTTAAAATAAGAGAAGGGAAATTTTGATTATTATTTTAAAATCAAAATCTGATTATTTTAATTGATTAGTTTACCACGCCGTACATTTGAAAAATCTAAATAAGAAACTATAACTAGTAATTAATCACAAAGTTCTCTTTTTTTCCCATCCGGTGCTCGTTCTTGGGAAGAGGTGATTTACAAGTTTACTCACCATATTTTGTCAAAACTGTCAAGCAGCGCACAGATCCTGCGAACGACGCAAACACAAACATTTCTTCAAAGTTTTTCATTGTTAATTCCAAAGGATTCGAGCCTCTCTTTGTCGCTTGTTCGCTTAAAATCTTATCCAGCTGCTGGTCTTCATTTTTCAGAATTAATTCCAAAATGTAATCCATAAATTGGCTGCCTCGCATGTAGTTCGATTCATCAAGGTTCATACGCAGTGAATTGAGATGACGCCCCAATTTAAGTCGAAAACATAAGAGACGAGCGTTCGATTTCTACTTATTCAGAAATTTGCATTACCCTAGGACAAAGAACATCTGAAGATGCGTGATAAATTATTCAGTGTGTCACAACTCTCCTCGGCGTATTATCAAATGAAAGGGAAAGGTTTCTAAGGAAAATGTAATTCTGCGTCGATGGGGGGCAATAACAGAATAATTGGTATTATCATCTGAGTTGTTAATGTAAATTGGCCACCGTTGGCTCTAACGAAGGGCTTACGCTCGAAACTTCAGCTTTAGAAACTCTTAACGGTGGCAATTTACTTTATCCACTCAGGTGATAAACTTAATTATCCAACAATTCTTGCGTCGAGTTTAACCAGTTTATCCGTCGACTTTTTGTGCTATACTAGTGTATATATATATATATATATATATATATTCATAGGTTATTTTGCGGTTGGTGAGAGCGTACGATTTTTATTCACAACGAGTAAATAAAAATCGTACAAGCGAACCAACCGCAAGTAACTTATTTATTATATACATACCGAGATTCATAAGTGAACAGAACTCAAAGATAAACTTATCTTTATTTTCTTTCAAAGGAAAACAACGCGCGGTGAAGCCGCCTCACTATTCGAGAGTTGCACTGAAATGGCTTCCTTGTAAAATACTTTACGTTTAAATTATTTAGCAAAAGTCCCGTTAAAAGGTAGAACTAATTTGATTAAAAAAAAGACATCCTGAAAATATGTCGAGATAGTTCTAAGGAAGTTCAAAATTTGATATGCAGAGGTGAAAACCCAAGACTTCATTCAGCTCTTGAAGAGTCAATTCGTCCATTTGTCTCAACTCGCCTTTCAAAACAAGAAATTCGTGGAACAGAGCAACATCGTGTTTGGTCTTGTGGTGTTTTCATTTTCCTGTCCGTCTATGAACTCTTCTACTGATGAATCTAGGCTCGGGTTTGAAGACTTCTTTCTAAAGAAAAATGCGCCTGACTAATATGCTCGTTCAATGTAAGGTTGCTCGTAATGGTTAGACCTAGTGGTTTAGCACTAGACACCCTCTCTAGTTCATTACCATGAAAAACTGTGGCTTATCCTTTACAAAAGATATCCTGAGCTCCTTACATTTCTCGCTATTGAGGTGGACTCTATTCTGCGTAGACCACTCCGCAACCTTATGCGCAATCTCCAGGGTACAATTTCGGTTGCCCTTGGCAACGACTTCAGATACGGTCATATCGTCAACGTACTTCGGTACATTAGCTAAATTGTCAACATATCAATTATTTATAAGTACAAGAAATGGTCATGGGTCTAAGTTTTTCCCTGAGGGACCCCGGAGGGCAATTTTTCTGACAGATAGGAGGAAATTCACCAAACCTCTCCCATTTTTAAATTCCATCATTACATTAACAAGAGTTGCATCAAGCATAGTTGCAAAGAACTCTTATAAAACTACTTTCGTTTTGGTTTACTTTGATTACATAGACACATGGATCAGTCTTTGATTGGAACATCCGAGAGGCCCTGTCGAAATAATAAGAGCTGCCCTTAGCGCTGCGATTTAAGTGTAACCATTCAAAAGTTCGAAGTACAGAAGTCATAGAAGAGGAGCTTTAACTTTCCTTTTGATTACTTTTCGACAAAAAAGGAAAATTTAGCCAGACAAATAAATAAATAAATAAATAAATAGATAAATAATGGATGAAAAGATATGAATGAAAATTGAAGAATGAAAATAAATTGATAAAAACGAACGAGTGAAGAAGAAATGAAGGATAGAATTTCCGAATATCAAATGAAAACGTGGTGTGAATGACACTGCACCAACTATATAATAAAAATTGACACATGGCCTGTGTAGCTAGGGGTTGAATGCGTGCTTTTTAAAAACACCAAATGGCAGAAGGGGAACTAGTTGACTATTTACAAGTATGGTAGAACTGTTGAGTTTGGAACAGTTAAAAAGCAAATCCAGACAACTGTGAATGTGTGTTTCGAACTTGGAACTTCCGCATTGCGAGCACTATGCAGTCACTCAGCCGCGCTTTCTCTACCGGCAAATTGAATCACTTTAGCCCACTAACAAGATGTCAGATTCAAATTTTATATTCTTTTAAGAAAGTGAATGCTTCATCAGGCGCTTACCCCAAAAACATTTCCGAACGGCACTTCAAAAAAATTCATCCAGCAAATCGTTCGACCATGGTCGTTTCTGAGGTTTCCTACAATTGAAGCAAGTATGAATAGTTCATCCTTACTACCTCTAACATTTACATATACATTTTTAACCATACAAACCATGTCAAAGCAGCCGCAATAAGATCCTTTGTAGCTTTTGATGTATCCTTCGGCAACTTTGGTACCGTTGGCTTAGATCCAATAAGGAAGATGGCCGCCATTGGTTCGAGGTCACCCAGCGGAGGGCTTCCCGTCAACATTTCCACAGCTGTACAACCGACACTCCTTTAGGAAAGAAAGAAACCAACTCTTTGAGACCAGACTTAAACAATGATTTAAATCAATTTTAATCTTCATACTCTCATGAAACTTGATCCTCTCTTTCATAAAATCAGATCCAAGGAAAGGAGTGATAAGCTCGACGTAACAACCGACATCGGCGGAATAGGACGAATGCGAAGGAACAGGTCTATCACAAGTAGTTAAACAGCTAACTACGCAGCATTACCACCTTTGTCCCTTCCAGCACTCTCTCTCTCTCTCTGTCTCTCTCTATCTTTCTCTGTGTGTTTTACTCATTATGAAGACAGTTAAACTTACCAAATGTCTACCTTTCTACCGTATCCTTCTCCCCAGAATATTTCTGGTGCCATCCAGTAGGGAGTGCCGCAATAGGATTCAAGAGCGGTTTTGCTCCCAATTTTCTGAATGTGGATGAAAGAGACCAAGATTCTTTTAAGAAACGGACCTTTGGAGGGTAAACATTTGAATTTCACACCAAATTATCTTTCTCGCCGAGAGTCGAGAGGAGCGGGGATGGCTAATTTGTTTCAAATTTTGCTCTTACCACTTTGTTCTAAACCAATGACCCCACAGGGCTCCCCACAGGTCAAAATCAAAGACAGTTTCGGACGTTCAGGATGGGGTTTGCAAGGAATTATATGCAACATTTGAAATTGCCGAATTGCAAGTAAACAAACAAATTTTCCACCACGAAATGTAAAATACCGTTTATAACTACCCTGCTCAAAGAGAGCAAAGCCCTATTTGTGGCGTGTAAAAATTTGTGAAGAATTTCTTCGTGTGATCGCATAATGGTTTTTTACAGTAATAAAATCCATCTACAAGTTTTTATATCTGTTTATCGCGGCTTATCGTCTTCAGCCTGTACATTTTTTCAGGAAAAGTTAGTAATGCTGTCTGTTTGTGAGGCTTAACTGAGAAATGCATTGTAATGATATGTGTGATATTGCCCGTGTGCATTTCGTGAAAATCCTATCCCCGCAAAATCAATCAAATGAAGTGTGCGTTCTGTCGGTATCCGGTCAATTCGCCACCACAACAGCAAAAAGACTCGCCATCACTGAAAGTCAAATCGCCACCGGTGGCGATTATTTCATTTAACACGAGCTTCACACGAAGGCTACACAAAACGAAAACGTCAGATCGCCACCGGAGGCGATTTGACCTTCAGTGGTGGCGAGTTTATTCAAAGGAATATTATTTTCGATAGTCCGAAATCTGCCAATTTTACATTTCTATCTTGATCTAAAAGGACGTTTGATCCTAGGAATATGTGAAAGAATCAATTAGAGATTTATAGACTTCACCTAACGAATATCACTCGGCGAAAATCACTCTGGTTTCGCTTTACGCAAAATGATCATAATCTTCTTGATATCAACAAGTTTTATTTCATTTAATGAGAGATTCACACGACAGCCTACGCATTACGGAAAACTCAAATCGCCACCGGTGGCGATTTGACTTTCAGTAGTGGCGAGTTTGTTGTGGTAGCGAATTGACCGTTAACCGTTCTGCCCGCTACAAACACAATCCACATCAGAGGATATAATTAATTGAAAGGATCCAAAATATCATAGAATTGTACCTGAATTACTTTCGATAGTCCGAAGTCTGCCAGTTTAACATTTCCATGTTCATCTAGAAGGACGTTTGTTCCTAAGAATATATGAATGAATCAATTAGAGATTAATGAAGACTTCAGGTAATGCACAACATACAATTGACATGAGAGCGGAGTTTACCCCAGTGATTAATATCGGTATCAGACATCACCGAATGATCTCTCCCTGAACTTTTATTGTGGATTAAGTACTTGAATTGTGTGAGGTAAATTTCAAAGACGATTGCAAATAAAGACCACGTATGAGGAAGAAGACAAAAACTGGCATCTCAGACAATTATTTGCGTGATGGCTAATCAATGTATTTACTACAATATTTAATATGTATGATCTATGCACCTTTGATGTCCCTATGAATAATTTCTTTTGAATGTAGAAAAGATACTCCTTCCAATATTTGCATGGTGTACTTTCTCGACTCTTTTTCAGAGAGAACTTTTTTCTTCTTTATGCGATCATACAATGATCCCTATCAAATAACATCAAACAATCCTTAGCGTGCTTAACGCCAATATTTCGGTATTTTTCATGTAGATTAAATAAACAATAGCATGCATTTAGCGCGAAATTGTGCTCGTATACTTGTCCTTATGTATTCCTTGAAGAGAACAGTTTTCAGAGAGCGAAGCTCGAGGAAAACTATGAGCTTAAAGGAACTTTTTTTGTCCGAGGACAAACGTTCGAGTATAATTTCGCGCCGGATGGAGGCTACTGTGTCTATCATCCTATGTAATATTTTTGCAGCGCGGAAGACTAAATGTTCACGAAAAGTTTACCTTTCACTGACTTAGATGTTCACTTTTCAGTGTTCGCTGGTACGACTTCATAAACAAACAAATATGTCCCTTCTCTGCAAAAACACCAAAACACTGTCTTATCTTGAATTTTATTCTTAACACCGACTTTAGGGACTCACTTAGAGAATATTACCCGATTTTCCTTTGTTTTCGGTGGGGTATATCTAGTAACGTGACGTTTTGAGACCAAAGGCGCTCGAGCAAAAACAATTCATGGATTACAATTCACAGCTATTCATTAAAGTGGAGAAGGCTGGTGGTGGATATTTACCGGGCCGCTACTGAGCCACAGACACAGAGGTAAATAGTTGCTTTAGTATATTCAGGAGATTATGGGCAATTTATAATCTATTGGTATAGACTAAATCAGTGAAGTAATATCAGATGGCACAAGAAGATGGGCCTCGTTGGCTATCTATCATCTCACATCCAACGTGCAATCGTGGAATGATTGCTAAATATATTTACAATAGTAATGATGTTAACCAAGGTAGATTGAAGAAATATAGAATCAGAAAAAGTTAATGTTCGCTATCCAGAATTAGAAGTCGCTTAGAGAAAGCGTTATCAGCTGTATCCAGAGCTATAGTAAAACTTAAGTTTATTTTGATTTCAGTAACGCCCCTCATCTCAATTAATACCCATCAAGACTTTAGAACACTCAAAAGGTTATAGTAATCATTCATCAACCGCAGAGGCATTAAATATTGCTCTTCTTTAAACTTACCCCTCTCATAAATTCCATAAATAGATGGAGATGATTGTCTTTCTCTACGCTTTCATAATAGGCCACAACTCGGTCGTGTCTGATTTCTTTCAAAATGTTGATTTCATTTGTGAGTAGTTCCACCTCCTGGAATTTCGAAGAAATAAATTTTTCAAGATAAATGAATTCTTCGTGAATCCGAAGAGAAGGCTCATTTTAATTAATAGACAAATTTTTTGATGCAGCAGTAAACCGTATAGCTAAAAATCGGACGTTTTCTTAAATGAAAACATTTACATCAAAGGGTACAAGACTAACCTTTTGCGATTGAGTATACTGAGGCTCTATCTTGACTATTTTCACAGCACACAGGCCTTTATAGTCTCCCGTTGGAAAAGTACACTCATATACCTGAAAAAATTTCCCAGATTAAATCGTTTATCAGTTGCCGTTTTTAGAAATAAAATCGACTATCTTAGAAGGAGCTACGCAATCTTCTCTACTCTAAAAACAGTGTTGTCTTTGCAACAAGAATGGAGTGTGCCTACGGCGGGGTTACCCTGTAAGAAAGCAAGTCTGTTCTCTGTTGGAGTTGTTGCAACGTGGTACGTGACTTCCTCACTTAATTCTGTAGAAATAATATTGTGAGACTTCTTCGAACTTTATTACCGATGACTAGGAATAGCTCTAAATTTGCGTCGAATCCTTCAAATTTTGTTTTATGTTAAATTCCATCAAATAATATAGATTTAGCCAAGCCTAAAAGCGGAGCTCCTGTAAGTTTATTTTCCAGCCCTTCATTATGATAAGAACTGTTATAAAAGTCTTCAGCACTGGTTGTAGGAGAGTTTCTTCAAGGGGATTCAGGACCAGTCTGGAGAGGGGGGGGAAGGATTTGACAAGGTCACGCCACCTGCCAAATTGTACTATGTCCGACCATTTCCCGAGGCGGATAAATAACAACAGAGGAACCCAACAAAGGTTATTATAAAGTGAGCAGAGACGAAAATTCTCACAAAGAAAACGCAATCGACAGTCCGAGTTTTGAAGGTTTTCGCTCAGTTAGATTGCAGGCTTACGTACGGTAGTAAGAATTCAACACAGCTAACACTCGTGAATAAAGTATAGTTTCTTGTTCAAAAACAGAACAAAACAGGAATGATGGAAGATATGGCCAACTGGCACAACTTTTAGAATTCATACTAATCATGAATCATGCCGAGGTCCAACGCGGCTAGCTCAACATTATGATATCCGGTCATCGCAGTGAAGAAGCCTTAGAAATAACATCGGCCGCCCTTCGAGAGAACAACTAAGAGCTTGCCCTAACATACTTTCCGATGCGTTGAGGTCCACCTCAACGCATCGGAAAGGATGACGCATCAGTCACAGCAGGCGAGTTTTACGGCGCTGTCATCCCGAGCAATCTCTATGTTCCTGTAAATTCGGCTGTAGTTCATTCATGAAGCACAAGCCTTGAACAGTTTGTTTCCTAATTTTCATGTGAAAAAAATTGCGTGTTTTTGTAATTATTGTAGTGTTTCTGACAGCTGCCAATCATAATGTTCGGAATGCACACGCGGTCCTTATGAAGAGAAGCTATTCTGTAGTCGGGTTTCGTCTCACAGGTTGATTAAATATCGTTGTGTTTCTACCGAACGTCTCAGTGGTTATTCAGCCGTAAACACCACAATTATGAGCTTCGATTCGGCCGGATTTCACTGAATATGTCTTTTAGTTTCTATTTTAGAGACTTGAAACTTCAGGGGAAAGTGTCAAATTCGACCTGCCGACCTACCTATCAGTTTGTAAGATGTGCAGATTGTTAACTCCAAGTTTGTGGTTTGACATTTTTGACAGCTTCAGTCTTGTTCAACCAATCAGATTATTTGAACCATTCTAACAGGGATTCTAATCGGCTTATTGTAGCGTGCTTTATGAGTGTGGAGCATGCTGACGACATTGTTGTTCGCTTTGGAAATAATATTTGTTTAAAAAAAATTGAAAGTAATGCGTGGGGAACTCAACAGATTCTTTATTATTAAAAAATAGGGAAGCCTTGACTGCGACCTGTACTGTTGCAAAGCACTTAGGAAGCGGCAGGAATACTCAAGAAGTGGGAGAAACTAAGAGATGCGGACGCGTGTTTCACCCTACTCTTCTTTCGTGCTTTAACCGCTTTCTGCGTGCTTTACAACAGAACAGAGCACAGTCAAGGCTTCTCCATTTTTGAATTGTTGATCGCGCGTGATTGGTCTAAACGCATCACGTGACCGAATATGGCCCCCCAGGTAAATTGGGGAATATCGTATTTCCTCGAATAAGCGCCCACGCTCAAATAAGTGCCCTTCCCCGAATAAGCGCGCACCAGTTAGGCCAAACATCAAATAAGCGCCCCCCCACCCTCGAATAAGGCTCCCCCTCAATCAATTTCAAATTAGTAGGGAAACAAATGAAACCTGGTTCTATTGCCAATTTATTGATAACCTTAAACGACAGCGGGATCAGCAAAGGATAATAGTTTCTCTTATGTACCACTTATTTCTATCTCTGTGTGCTTGCAGAGTTTCCCTATGTGTGTTACCTGTTCTTTTAAATTTTGTCATATTGCTGCGCTCTTGGCAAATGCCGTAATCTTCCCAGGCATAACTAGACCATTCTCTGGCCTTTGAGGACCAGTAATTTCTAGCATTATTGAGTTATTGGGCTGCGTTTTAAGAACGTAGTTGATAAAGAATGATCGGTCAATCAGAATGCGACCAACAAGCTATAAACTGTCAGAGCCATGCACATGCTTCACTTCAATTGCCTCTTCCCTGTCATCTCTTAAAGCAAGTAAGTCTTTCCCCATTTGATTGTAAAAACGAAAGATGTAAATATTGACCTCACGTCCACGTCTATTTAAGATGAGGCCAAAATAAAGTTACGATTCGTTGAAAGGAAACTAAATAAGGGCCCCCCCCCCCTTTCAGCCGAAATTTTAAATAGGCGTCCAGGTGCTTGTTCGAGGAAATACGGTATATATGCGTTGTTGACCAAGCATGAGGTTAAGATTGGCTGGATATTGGACAAGTTCTTTTTGACAATTTTACGAACGGAGACAAAGTAAAGGTCCATAAAAACGCAAAAAACAGAAGAAGGAGGTTAAAATCCAGCCATCTTGACCGAACAAGCTTACTCAATAAAGAATTTATTGTACAGCAAAAAGGTTTCGCTTCAATTTTAATAGAATCAATAATGACTTTTTGTAGGTTTTTGTAGCACAATAAACTCACGAAACTCGTTCATGCCTTTTTGTTTTGATTGTCCTCTACCGCTTTTAAAATTCCATGGCTAACATTTTCAAAAAATTTCCAAACTTGTTAGCCCATCCCAGGTAGTTTTTCCTTTCTTGCGCGGTATCAAAGCGGGAAAGCGCAAGATGGGCTCGTCTTGCCCGCGCGGGTAGCCAATCGGAACGCAGTATTCACTTCATATTGCCCACGGGTGCTGCCTGCCATATGGTAACCGGTGATATTCCCCAATTTTCAAACCTTTCCGTCAACCACGATAAAAGCCTGCCTTTAAAATGTATTCAAGATGAGAGAATGTTTTTGATCGTTACAGAAGAAGAGATATATTTGCTTTTTCATTAATTCGTAACAGAGAACATTGAAAAGGGAACAAGCAAACAACAGGCTGATCGTTAACATTTTGTTTCACGCGCTGCACAAATATTGAAGGATAAGAAACACAGTAGCCTTGTTACTGTTATCTAGAGACCGTGATTCTTACCTCCGCTAAGTTAGAACTAACTTGAGCTCGGTGTTGATTTAGTAATAGGGCTACTCTTTAAGATTACTCAGTTTCAATGAGAAGCACATTTTAACCAAAGATTGTAGTCAAGTCTCACAAAAGGCCGAGTACAATCCTGTTATTTTCTGGCATTTATTTACTTTTACGTCAAATCCTTGATTACAATTTAAGTTAACGTACCTTGCCAAAAGCTCCGGCTCCAATACATTTGCCCAATGTCCACTCTCGAAAAGGATGGGCTACAAGGAAAGTTGTGAATGTGTTCAGTTGTTGGGTTTCTGAATAGACAACAATTTATACGAAAAAACTTTCAGGACTGACTATTTATGCGCCATATCTATGTTTTTAGTTATTAACAACACTCCAAGACAAGATGGCGAATATCCCTCTCTTATGCAGGCTTTTCGGGTCATTTTAAAAAGTTTGCCGCTTAGTAAGGCCTGTGTGAGATCATAACTTTTAAGCTGGGTAGCAGCGTTCATGATAAATTTGTGACAAAAGTGGTGTTCTAACAATGATAATCAAACCTCAATACATTTACCATTACCAAAATTTAAGGCATCTTTCGAGGTTTCAAGCGGGGAAATACAACTCCCAAGATGGGTAGGGAAAAAGCGGTAAATAATTTATAACTTTTATGTAAGTTTTTGGGAAGTAAAAACGTATTTGTGACGAAATTTCGTTCCAAACATGATAGGTAAGTATGCTGAATGCTGCATACGGAAAATATGAAAACAAAGAAATGCCTACATATTAAGGTGGACATACTAATGGACTAAACAACTGAGGAGAAAACAATAAACACTTGATGACGCTAACCTTCAGAGGAATGACTGTTAGCTTCCAGTGGCTGAAACGAAATCCTCTGAAAGAAAACGTTTGCATAAGGATACCAAATTTCACTTTGAAGCTAAACGGTTGACAGTGCCAGCATTATACTTAGAATATGATCTTCATTCTGAGAGATGTTAATGCTATGATAAACGAGAGGCATTAAAGAACACTTTCTAAATTTGATCTGACTAGCTGGCCACTGAATAAAAAGATCGCGTTAAGCCTTGTGCTACTTTTTAAATTGAGGAGACTAGAGCAGAATCGGAAATCGAACAGGAAATTCCATGGTTCCATTGCCAGAATTTAACCAGTCACAATTGGTTACTTTTTCCTGATGGTTGGCTTGGTTAAAACCAATTCTATTCAGCTATCGCTCACTCGATTTTGCTGGAGAAATTCTAAAACTTATTTATGAAACTAATTTGCTTTAAGCTATTGAGTACCAAAAAAAAAAGAAACGAAAACAAAAATCAAACCTACAGTTAAGCATTTTTCTTACCCTGGGCGACTCTGATTCAGGGACGGAAGCATAACCGAAGCATGAAAGAAAGAAGAAAATCAATACTATTAAGATGAATATGACGCCTCCTCGCCAACATTCAGTGCTATAAACTGGTGTAAGTAATTGTGACTTCTCATAGATAAACTTCACTCTATTGATGATCTTCCTATGAAGTTTTAGAACAAATAGATTATCAATCAATGTTTTTATTTTTGCGTTGAGGTTTCTTAAACAACGCTTTTCATTAACGTTAGCCTTTAAGGGCGTAAGTCACTCTTTGAGACTGCGAACTAAGTTCTTCCATTTTGACACTTAAAAGCGTGAAATCACTATTGTTCGACCTCGACTAATCGACAAGAGGCAGAGAGCGACGTCGTAAAAGCCAACCGATCACAAAGTGTTTTGGTCACGGGCTGTTGAGAATGATGCGAGGTTTAAACAACTTAATATGTAGACAATAAACACTTGATGACACTAAAGAAAGCAAAGCCTCTTTGTTGAAACAAACTTATTCACAATTCATTTAATATCCTGCACTCAAAATACTCAGTGACGGATGATAAACTGAGTTCCCTTTCTTCTAGTGTAGAATTAAAATATTTCTCCCTCACCTCTTCAAAAGACTATGTGCCAACACCACTTGCAAGGTAAAGGAAGGGTAAGGAATAGCAAAGTTTGCACAAGTTCGATTGCACGGCATAAGCCCATGGCCACGACATGTTCTCAATCGTGGGTTATAGGCATAACAGTTCTTTTGACATGTAGGTCAAAACAATAAAGTGCAGATATCTAGATGGACATACTGATAGACTAAACAGCTGAAGAGAAAAGAATAAACACTTGATGACGCTAACCTTCAGAGGAATGACTATTAGCTTCCCGTGACCATAACGAAATCCTCTGAAAGAAAACGTTTGCATAAGGATACCAAATTTCACTTTGAAGCTAAACGGTTGACAGGAGTGCCAGCATTATACTTAGAATATGACCTTCATTCTGAGAAATGTTAATGCCACGATTAAAGAACACTTTCTAAATTTGATCTGACTAGCTGGCCAATAAATGAGAAGATCAGGTCAAGCCTTGTGCTACTTTTTAAATTGAGGAGACTTTGGAAACGAGAACAGAATCTGAAATCAATCGAATCAATACTAAAAAATTCGCGACTGTTTAAAATTGTTCTGTACAGCTGGACAATGAGAGTCAAGTCCAAGTCAGAACTTGTGATATTTTGAACTTTGAGGGAACTTTGGAAACGAGAGCAGAATCGGAATTCGAAACAAGAAATTCCATAGCTCTATGGCCAGGCTGTACCCAGGATTAACTATATCTTTGTGGTTGGCTTAGTTAAACCAATTCTATTCAGTTATCGCTCAATCGATTTCGCGAGAGAAATACTGAAAGTTACGAATAAATTTAATTTGCTTTACATTATTGAGTTCCAAAAAACAAACAAACTAACTAACAAAAAACAAACCCACAATCAAGCGTTTTCCTTACCTCAGGTGACACTGATTCTGAGACGAAAGCATAAATGAAGCGTGGAAGAAAGAAAAAATAAAAATGTAATATCATTAAAATTGTAAGATGCCTTCTCGCCAACATTCACTGAGTGCTATCAACTAGTGTAAGTAATTATGACTCCTCATAGGAAAAATCAGCCTACTGATAATCTTTTGCGTTGAGGTTTCTAATCGCTAATGTGATTGTGTGTACGAGCTATTGGAGGTGGCAAAATCCCAGGATTGAACGGATTTTATGTAACTGGACGGCAAAGGATACCAACGGCCTGTTGGTGCCACTATGTCGTCCGTTCTGAATGCGCATGCGTGGGTCGTGACTTAGCCGCCTTAAAAAATATCTCAAATACATTTATATACCCGAACCACAATCTTCAGTTGGAGTTTTGGACAAACTCTACTCAGTAACGGGTGATAATTTTCTATTTGCTTTTCATCTAGAGCTTAGCTTGTATTTCTCCCTTACCTCATCAAAATATTTTGCGACGACAAGACCCGAAGAAAAGTTAGGAAAATCACTGTCGTATGAGTTCAATCAGTGCACGGTATGTGCCACAATACGTCCTTAATAGTAGGTCATGGGTATATCAGTACTTGTGACGAGTGGGATATTGTCTTGTTGTATTAAAATTGATATATGGACAGCCGAGAAGGGCAAAAGAAAAATAACTATTCGCTAACGCTTACCTTCAGAGCAAGAAGAGGTTGAGCTCCCTTGATCTGGGTCTTCAGATGTGTCTATCTGTGAACGAAGACTAAAATTAACATTTGATTGTCTAATATCTTCCAGAGTTTCCGCGCACGCATTTCAATTGTATTATCATTCCCCGACAATCTAAAAACAGCGGTCATGTTGGATTTTCAAGCCAAGTTTTTTCAAGTGCAAATTATCTCTTTACTTTTATGGCTCTTCCCTTAGGATATTTTCAGCTCTGTTCCGTTCGCTTTGTTGTGTATATATTGTGTGTTATTTCGTACCTTCGCGTGTTGTTGACACCAGGTTGAATGAGCAATAAGAGTAATGCCGAATGTGTATTTGATTATTATGTACGTGCTGATAAACAGCACAAATGATAAACAGCATAAACTCTGATTGGTCGAAGTGTGAAGTAATTCTCTGACCGATCACAGGTTGCAGGCGGTATTTTCTATCAGTGAAAACAATCGCATTGGTTTTCCTGCCTTTCGTGGCACTGTAGCACGCCAAAATGAATGAAAGTGAATTTTAGCAACGTTCGCTGCTTTCCCAGAAAAATGTAAAAGTATTCAAAGCTTAACCAATTATTCTGTGGTATCTGAACAAAAGCAGGTAGGAATGTCTCTTACTTTGGATGGAATAACGAAAGAGAGCTTGGAGAAAACGTCATTTTAAAAAAAGAGCTGTTTTATGTGATCAGGAACTTAGTGGGTTACCACTAAACATGTTAAGACACAGAAAACTAATATTCTGCAAATGTTTCCTATGGTCCTTGGTTGTCTCTAACTATATTTTATACGTGCTGAGATTCACTCTAAGGGAAATTGTCTCTAAAATGATAAACAGCACAATTCTGATCGGTCGAACAGTTTTTCTCACAAGTGAGAAGTACCGATCACAGGTCGCAGACGATATTTTTCACTAGTGAAAACAATCGTATCGGTTTTCCTGCCTTTAGTGGCGCTGCAGCACGCCAAAATGATTGGAAGTGAATTTTAGAAACGTTCGCTGCTTTCCCAGAAAAAATGTAAACGTATTCAAAGCTTAACCAATTATTTTGTGGTACCTGAACAAAAGCAGGTGAAATGTCTCGTACTTTGAATAAAGTAACAAAAGAGAGCTTGGAGAAAACGCCATTTGAAAAAAGAGGTGTTTCATGTGATCAGGAACTTAGTAGGGTGCCACAAGTTAAAATATCTGTCACAGAAAAACAGAAAAGTAATATTTTGCGAATGTTTCCCATGGTTCTTCGTTGTCTCTAACTGATGAGAATGTATCTATATTCTCTATGGATATTTAAAACAACATGCCATTGGAGCCTCAGGATGCTCGACTTTTATGCCTGGCCCCCAAAAGTAGGCGGAAAATAAACAGTTTAGTGCGTGCCGTTCATCAGCTTACTCTTGTGGGAGTTTCAACAACAACATCAACAAAAAATACAGAGACCAATCTCTCTCATTAATGTGGACAGCAAAATAGGGTAAAATATGGACTTGACTATTTTTTGGACTATTTTTGGACCATTTTTTTGGACCATTTTATCAGGGGGGAAGCACACCATTAGTACTCAGGGAGGGACGGGATGCAGTCTATCAGTATACTGAGGGAGGGCTGGGAGGCACAGTGTTATTACTCAGGGAAGGGTGAGAGACGGAGTATGACTACGCAAGGAGAGGTGGGAGGTGGTTGTAATAATAAACGCTGCTGTTTAATGCACTTTTGCTCGATCATACAAATTATTTTAATCGGTTTTTCGACTGACCTTTTTAATGCCAAAATTTTTGCGCTGGGCCGCGGCGTTTCTTCATTTTTTTTTTTTTTTAGTCATGCGAATGCAAAACTGCCACCTAAACACTGGACTTAAATTTTTATTGAAAATATCGCGTCTATGATTCTCCACTGCTAAGTTGTGCGCGTGGCTTTTGAGTAGACTTATGCACCATCAGTTGCTTCACGTTTGCCTTTGTGTATACAGTATATAATTACTGAATTTTTCTATCTTCCTTTTGTCATTGACCCTATCAGACGAGATCACGGAATTTTCGGTCCTTAGCCCCAAGTTAACTTAGCAGCATAGAATTCATGTGCGCTATCGCAATTTTAATATTTATACCTTTAATATGTAAAATCATTCAAGGTAAAATCATACAAAGCAATCTTTTCTCTTTTCAGATACACAGTTTTCCCCTTTTTGATACAATGAACACACGCTTGAGTGCCACGTCACGCATTCCACTTCGTACATTGATGATTAAAACAGCACAGCTTCGGCGCTAGATAATTTTTCAAATAACAGGTTTGCCTTTTATGGCTTAAGGGCGCAATGTTTCTTTCAGATAGCCACTGCTCTGATTAATTAAATTCTCACAGGTGCAAACTACAGAGTCACCTTTTTCGAATATTACAGATTTCTAATCAAATAAAGTACTGCCCTCTCGCAAATTACCGATTTGAGTTAATCTCACAAATAAAACTTTTTCATTTTGTTTCGTTTCGCAAATCAGGGTTATATCATGGTTAACATGACACCCTATTTGACAAGTCGTTTAAGGAAAAGGTCTACTGAAGTGGGTCCATTTTTACATTGGCCTTGTTGGTAGCAGAGGCGATGGCGGCTTGTTCAGTGATCGGTGAGAAAGCTTGCATTCATCGGAGAAATGTTTAGCCTGACAAATTCGGTATCTTGGAAGTGTAACTTTGCTACCACATGATCAATGTTCACTGGAGAAGCCCAGTGAAACGATTGACTGGTTGTATGAGTCTTGGCCCGACCGATCGAATGGTCTGCAATTCAAATAATTGTAATGTTGTATAGACTTTACGTTCAATGATTTTCCATCACTGCTCGTTCCATGAAGATAAATCATTTTGCATTTATTATTTAACGAAAATGACTATTCCCAAAGTTGCGAAAAGAGTGCATGAATTAAAAGTTTTGTTGTCGCGCGGGTGTTTTCGTGGAGCACGCTCACTCTTCCGTTTTTTATCTTTTTTTCGCTTAGACGAGTGTTCATTAGTATACATTAATTAGAGGCTAAAGTAATACAAATTGTGGGAAGAGATTGTAGCTCACGTTTTGTTGTTATGAGGTCAGTTGCTGCCAACTATGATATTTGTGGCGCTACTTTTGAATGGTAGCTTTCTAAAATCTATCGGCTTGTCGAACATTGTGAGGAAATTTCTTCCTGCATTTGTTCATACGGCACGGGAAGAACTCAACTACAGCAATGTAGAGCAGCTCCGCTCTCTTGCAAGACGCAATTTTAGGAAACAAAGACTTCCTCGATGTAGCCCATCGGTATCAAGTACAAAAAGAGCTAAGTCTTTAAGAGAGGTTGTCAGTAATTTTCAAGAATCCAGCGACAGAAGAAAAAATTCAACTACTTTTTTATTTGCTCCAAAAGACCCTTTTGGTGAACTGTTTTAAATAATAATATTCAAAAGTTCCAGTGAGTTTTTATTTTGGCAAAAAATACGAAAGTTTGAAATCGGCCAAAACGTACCTAATTTGCATAATTTCTATCGAGCTTTCAGTGCATTTTCACAACGCTCGTACAAGACAACGAAAAATTATCTTGGATTCATTTATTCATAAGTTGTTTTCCATCCCTTGGAATAGCTTTCCAACTATATTTCATCTCCAACTAAACTTTCTTTCGTTTGTAACCACCCGCGTAAACTATACGTAGACTATATTTTTTCCATATTTCAGACGACCATAACATCGGGGGTATACGAATGTACATAAAATAAAAGAGCTCTTTTCAACGAGCAATTCTTCGTGTTTATCATGTAAAAATATTATTTTTGGCCCGTGAAAAGCGAGCGCGCCAGACCAAAATATACAGCGTGCATTTTCACGGAGTTCGGCCATTTTCTTTGCTGTACTCCTATTGCAAATCACAAGCTATTGGGACAAAAATCGACGTGTTTGGTCTCTACTTCTGTTTTAATTCATTTAAATATATCAAATTTAACTTTAAATTACCCTACCTTTATTGTTAAGTGAACAAACCACCGTTTTAGGTAAAGTTTTTGAGTTTATTTTTCTCGAGTGCTAAATAAACAAATCGCTGTTTACAAAGATACCAGCTCTGTCGACGTGTTTTTAGCTGAAATTGGCCTGTCGCTTATATTGTTCTTTAATTTACAATCTATCCCACTGGCATAACTTTAGAGTAAATTACATGTAACTGTAAATGCTGTGAAAAATACGTGAGCGTGAGCTAAATAAAATCTTCGCACACATAAAATATTCGAAACATGTAGTTGTCGCAAGAAAACACTCGCTTATGCATGAACCTCGTGTATACATTCGGTGTTTTGCTCGGTTGCTTAAATAGATTTTTACCAATGTCACTGTAATGGCCTTTGACGATCAGCTTGTTGGCAACAAGCTGATCGTTAACATTTTGTTCCACGCGCTGCAATAATATTATAGGATAAGAAACACAGTAGGCTTTTTGACTTTGTGATCTAAAGACCGTAATTCCAACCTCCGCTTAGAGTTAGAGCTAATCCGAACTCAGTGTCAACTGAACAATAGGGCTACTCTTTCAGATTACTCAGTTTCAATGAGAAGCACATTTTAACCAAAGATTATTGGTCTGTCAAGTCTCACAAAAGGCCGAGTACAATCATGTTATTTTCTGGCATTTATTTACTTTCACGTCAAATCCTCGTTTAAAATATAAGTTAACGTACCTTGCCAAAAGCTCCGGCTCCAATACATTTGCCCAATTGCCAGTCTCGAAAAGGATTGGCTACAAGGAAAGTTGTGAACGTGTTCAATTGTTGGCTTTCTGGGTTTCAGGACTGACTATTTATGAGCCATATCTTAGTTTTTAGTGTTTCTTTCCTTAGATTGAGTATTACAAGATCAAACTTTAGAGCAGTGAGATCCATCAGAAAGGAAACTATTACTAAGTTCGGACGGAGTAACTCACAACCTAGCTTGCTCGAGCCGGGCTGGGGAATATTGGTCCGAGGTTACATGCAACAAACTGGATATTTTGGCAAAACAGTTGTAGAGCAAAAAACAGTAAGTAACCTTTAAGATAAAGTAATCTCCTTCCCTGACTGAACTGCACGGTAAGAGCCCATGGCCCGACATGCTCTCAATTGTGGGTTATGAGTATAACAATTCTTTAGACATGTAGGTCATAATGTTAAAATACAGATGGTCACGTGGCTCTGTATGAAAGCTCAGGGAGTGGCTAGGGTAAGTTCTTAGAAACCCCTTGGTCAATAGGCATTTTTCTCTGAGGCTGGAAGGGGCATGTCTTGTTCATCCTGGTTGAAAGCCTGCATTGCAGGACTGGAAGCCAGACTTTTACCCTGTCACTCCCCGTCCACTGAGCTAACACTCCATGGCTGGAGGGTGGTTGGGTGTCAAAAGCATTCCTTTGGGGAAGAGGGCTGAATTGACATTGCCTTTAAGCCAGCCTGGCCTAAGAAAGTGCAGAGGGCTTAACCTCATAGCAAGTACCCGCATGCAGCCCAGCCACCAACTTATCCAAGGGTGGGTTGCAAATGGCTCTTTGTGGAAAGCTCGGGGCTGGGAAGGGTAGGTTTTTAACTTATCACTCATGAGGGATTTACATTTTGCAAAAAAGTGGACATCTTGGTCAAGTTCGTGAGGCTGAATTTGTTTTGGACTTAGTCGATTGGTCTAAAGTCAGACCCATTCTTTGTGGCATCCCTTCAAGTGAACAAGATCATTTTGGCTGCCCCGGAGGTGGGGTAGGGCTGAGGACATTTTGAATATTAAAAGGTTTTTTCTTGGATATTGACTTTGAGTTTGTTTTTTGAGCATTTTCTGGTGAATTCACTCAAAGGTGTATATACCTTTGAGAGCTATCAACAAGTGTATGTAATTAGGACTCCTCATAGAAACAATGTCTATTGATAATCTTCGTTTGAAGTCTTACAACAAATTAGTTTTCACTCAATGTTTTTCTTTCATATTGAGTTTCTCAAACAACGCTTTTCATTAACGTTATCCTTAAAGGACTAAAGTTACCCTTTGAGACTGTGCACTAAGATCTTCCATTTTAACAATTACTATTGTTCAGCCTATAATAACCGACAAGAGGCAGAGAGCGACGTCGTAAAAGCCAACCGATCACAAAGTGTTTTACTCTCGTACTGTTGAGAATGATGCGAGGTTTAAGTAACTTAATATGTAGACAATATTTGCTCTGATCTTTTTCTGTGAGTCTCAATAAATTTAAGGGCTTTCTTTCTCGATAAACACACAATCTGAAAGTTATGTTCAGCCTAGTTTCTAGGGCAAGCATAAGAAATTGATTAAGTGCCAGCTCTCCCAAGCTTTATCGGCAAATCGACAGAACTAAAAAATAGCAGCTTTCTTGGGAGGACAGGTTTACCCAAAGTAATCCTTACAAAAGACATTCAAAATGTCAGTGTTGAGAAGAACTAATTTTTAGAAGACATTAACCGAAAGAGTTCGATGTTACCAAAAAGTTGAAGGGCGGGAGTGTAAGCGAAGTCCAATACATCGTTGTTGAGGTGATATATTTAAGTGACACTCGCCTCTTGTTGAAAACGACCAATGAATATTTGAAGCAACGCTTGACGAATTGTTCAATGAAGTATTAGTAAAATATTCATTCCAAAACAACACCAAATACGTATGCCTAATGTGATTCTGTGTACTAGCTAGTGGAGGTGGCAAAATCCCAGGATTGAACGGATTTTATGAAACTGGACGGCAAAGGATACCAACGGCCTGTTGGTGTCACTATTTCCTCCGTTCTAAATGCGCATGCGTGAGTCGTGACTTAGCCGCTTTAAGAAATATCTCAAATACAATTATATACCGCAACCACAATCTTCAGTTGGAATTTTGGACAAAATCTACTCAGTAATGTATGATAAGTTTGTATTTGCTTTTCATCTAGAAGTTAGCTCGCATTTCTCCCTTATCTCATCAAAATATTTTAAACCGACAAGACTCGAAGAAGAGTTAGGAAAATCACTGTCGTACGAGTTTAATCAGTGCACGGTATGTGCCACAATACTTCCTTAATAGTAGGTTATTGGTATATCAGTAATTGTGACGAGTGGGATATTGTCTTGTTGTATTAAAATCGATATATAGACAGCCGAGAAGGACAAAAGAAAAATAACTATTCGCTAACGCTTACCTTGATAAGGAAAAGAGTTGTACCCCCAGTTCGTCGTCTGTGGAGCAAAGACTGGATGTACCTGCATGCGATTTTCTTGGACATCCTGTGGAAAAGCTTGAGAATAACAAGAAATTACATGCTTCCATTGCCAGGATTTATCCAGTTTTAATTTGTACTTTTTCCGTATAGTTGGCTTGGTTAAAACCAATATCATGCAACTATCGCTCACTCAAAATTGCGAGAGAAATACTGAAACTTATAAATGAAGTTATTTTGCTTTACATTATTGAGCACCAAAACAAAAAATAAAGCAAAAACAGAAAAAACAAACAAACAAACCTACACTCAAGCTTCTTCAATGAAATATATTTCAATGACACTCACATCTTGTTGAAAACGACCAAGGAATATTTGAGGTAACGTTTGACGAATTGTTCAATGAAGTATTAGTAAAATATTCATTCCAAAACAACACCAAATACGTATGCCTAATGTGAGTCTGTGTACTAGCCAGTGGAGGTGGCAAAATCCCAGGATTGAAAGGATTTTATGAAACTGGACGGCAAAGGATACCAACAGCCTGTTGGTGTCACTATGTCCTCCGTTCTACATGCGCATGCGTGGGTCGTGACTTAGCCGCCTTAAGAAATATCCCAAATACAATTATATACCGCAACCACAATCTTCAGTTAGAGTTTTGGACAAACTCTACTCAGTAACGTATGATAAGTTTGTATTTGCTTTTCATCTAGAAGTTAGCTCGCATTTCTCCCTTACCTCATCAGAATATTTTGCGCCGCCAAGACTCGAAGAAGAGTTAAAAAAATCACTGTCGTACGAGTTCAATCAGTGCACGGTATGTGCCACAATACGTCCTTAATAGTAGGTTATTTGTATATCACTACATGTGACGAGTGGGACATTGTCTTGTTGTATTAAATTTAATATATAGACAGCCGAGAAGGACAAAAGAAAAATAACTATTCGCTAACGCTTACCTTGATAAGGAAAAGAGTTGTACCCCCAGTTCGTCGTCTGTGGAGCAAAGACTGGATGTACCAGCATGTGATTCTCTTGGACATTCTGTGGAGAAGCTTGAGAATAACAAGAAATTACATGTTTCCATTGGCAGGATTTATCCAGTTATAATTGGTACTATTTCATTATGGTTGGCTTGGTTAAAAACAATTTTATGCAACTATCGCTCACTCTAATTTGCGAGAGAAATACTGAAACTTATAAATGAAGTTATTTTGCTTTACATTATTGAGCACCAAACAAAAAAAAAAGCAAAAACAGAAAAAACAGACAAACAAACCTACAGTCAAGCTTCTTCAATGAAATATATTTCAGTGACGCTCGCATCTTGTTGAAAACGACCAAGGAATATTTGAAGCAACGCTTGACAAATTGTTCAATGAAGTATTAGTAAAATATTCATTCCAAAACAACACCAAATACGTATGCCTAATGTGAGTCTGTGTACTAGCCAGTGGAGGTGGCAAAATCCCAGGATTGAAAGGATTTTATGAAACTGGACGGCAAAGGATACCAACGGCCTGTTGGTGTTACTATGTCCTCCGTTCTACATGCGCATGCGTGGGTCGTGACTTAGCTGCTTTAACAAAATTTCTCAAATACAATTATATACCGCAACCACAATCTTCAGTTGGAGTTTTGGACAAAATCTGCTCAGTAACGTATGATACGTTTGTATTTGCTTTTCATCTAGAAGTTAGCTCGCATTTCTCCCTTACCTCATCAAAATATTTTGCACCGACAAGACTCGAAGAAGAATTAGGAAAATCACTGTCGTACGAGTTTAATCAGTGCACGGTATGTGCCACAATGCGTCCTTAATATTAGGTCATGGGTATATCAGTACTTGTGACGAGTGGGACATTGTCTTGTTGTATTGAATTTAATAAATAGACAGCCGAGAAGGACAAAAGAAAAATAACTATTCACTAACGCTTACCTAGATAAGGAAAAGAGTTGTACCCCCAGTTCGTCGTCTGTGGAGCAAAGACTGGATGTACCAGCATGCGATTTTCTTGGACATCCTGTGGAGAAGCTTAAGAATAACAAGAAATTAAATGCTTTCATTGCCAGGATTTATCCAGTTATAATTGGTACTTTTTCCTTATGGTTGGCTTGGTTAAAAACAATTTTATGCAACTATCGCTCACTTGAATTTGCGAGAGAAATACTGAAACTTATAAATGAAGTTATTTTGCTTTACATTATTGAGCACCAAAACAAAAATAAAACAAAAACAGAAAAAACAAACAAACAAACCTACAGACGAGCTTCTTCAATAACATATATTTCAATGACACTCACATCTTGTTGAAAACGACCAAGGAATATTTGAAGCAACGCTTGACAAATTGTTCAATGAAGTATTGGTAAAATATTCATTCCAAAACAACACCAAATACGTATGCCTAATGTGAGTCTGTGTACTAGCTAGTGGAGGTGGCAAAAAATCAGGATTGAAAGGATTTTATGAAACTGGACGGCAAAGGATACCAATGGCCTGTTGGTGTCACTATGTCCTCCGTTCTACATGCACATGCGTGGGTCGTGACTTAGCTGCTTTAACAAAATTTCTCAAATACAATTATATACCGCAACCACAATCTTCAGTTGGAGTTTCGGACAAAATCTACTCAGTAACGTATGATAAGTTTGTATTTGCTTTTCATCTAGAAGTTAGCTCGCATTTCTCCCTTACCTCATCAAAATATTTTGCACCGACAAGACTCGAAGAAGAGTTAGGAAAATCACTGTCGTACGAGTTTAATCAGTGCACGGTATGTGCCACAATACTTCCTTAATAGTAGGTTATTGGTATATCAGTAATTGTGACGAGTGGGATATTGTCTTGTTGTATTAAAATCGATATATAGACAGCCGAGAAGGACAAAAGAAAAATAACTATTCGCTAACGCTTACCTTGATAAGGAAAAGAGTTGTACCCCCAGTTCGTCGTCTGTGGAGCAAAGACTGGATGTACCTGCATGCGATTTTCTTGGACGTCCTGTGGAAAAGCCAAAGTCTAAAAATTACCATTCGGTTGTCGTACGTCTTCGAAAGAGGCTATTCCAGAGTTTCTGTGCACACCTTCCAATTGTGTTATCACGCTCTGACAATCTAAAATCGGCCGTCATATTGGCGGATTTTCAAGCGAAGCGTTGAGACGAAGTTGCAAGTTACTTGTTTACTTTTATGGCTTTTGCAATTATGATTCCATATTTTTTTTAATACTACGCTAAGTATATTTCCAGCTCTGTAACTTCCCCTTTACTGTGTTTTTATTGTATGTTATTTCGTTCCTTCGCATGTTGTTGACACCAGGCACAGCAATGTCGAATGTGTTTGAAAAATGCGATATATTTGATTAATGATACGTGCTGAGATTTACTCCAGGGGAAATTGTCTCCTAAAATGATAAACAGTACAAATTCCGATTGGTCGAACGGTTTTTATCACAAGTGAGAAGTAATTGGGTGACCAATCACAGGCCGCAGGCGAAATTTTCCACCAGTGAAAGCAGTCGTATCGGTTCTCCTGCCTTTAGTGGCGCTGCACTTCGCCAAAATGAATGAAAGTGAATTTTAGCACTGAACGTTCGCTGCTTTTTCAGAAAAAAAATGTAAAAGTATTTAAAGCGTAACCAATTATTCTGTGGTACCTGAACAAAAGCAGGCAAAAATGTCTCGTACTTTGAATGAAGTAACGAAAGAGAGCTTGGGGATAACGTCATTTAAAAAAAAAAAGAGTTGTTTCATGTGACTAAAATTCGTATGTGAAAGTTAGATTAATTTTTGATGCTGCCAGGACTATTGATAATGTGTTAGGATACACAAAACAAAGTGGGAAGTCTGGAAACATGGTAACAATTGATTTTGAAAAGGTGTTTGTTTCCCTGGGTCATGAACTTCAAATAGAAGTCCTTTACACTTTCAGTTTTGAGCCATCCTTTTTTCAGTGGATTCGAACTTTCTATTGAAACATTTAAAGCTGCGTCATAATGGTTTTGCAACAAACTATTTCAGTGTTCACCGGGGAATGACATATGGGGATCCTTTATGCCCTCTTTTGTCCATTCTAAGTCTAGAAGTTCTGGTGTCTTATGATATTGAATACGGCAGGTTAAAGATGCTTGACTCAGAATCTATGATTCTGGCATAAAGAACCATGTGTTTGAAGAGGCTTTTTGAAGATTATGCTAGTAATTGGATAGCTTTTTTTTAGTTTTTACATATATGGAAAAGTAGGAGGAAAGCTAATTTTGCAGTGCCATTTTGATTGTCGTAATTTGCCCGTATCTAAACCGGGGTTTTACGAAGAATGCCTGGATGCATGGTTCACTCTCACAGGAAAGGTAAATGTTCTTGTGAAGACATAATGAAACAACTTGTGTGGAATAATAAATACATTCTAAATGATGGTAACTCTTTGTATTATGCCTTTTTCACAACACACGTAGACTTAGCAAAGTCGAAGATTTAGTTTCTCAAGACAATATATTTCTAGGAAGTGGAAAAAATCTCAGGTCAACATTTCCTCTAATTATGAGTGGTCAGTGCCATACCGAATGAATGGCGTTTTCACCATCAAGGGAAAAGTGTTTATGTTGAACTCTCCCCCCCCCCTCTTCGTATCCTTTCATTGAAAATTGTTTTCAAGTACCAATAAGGGGCAAGATGTTTGATCTTTCAAGCATCTCCAAAATACTTTACAGAGTTCCGTCCCTGTACTGCTCAGGCTAAATTAAAAGATGAGTACCCTAACCTCTCTGTTGACTGGAAAGAAACCTATTTATTAGTCTTTAATGTTACTTTGGACACAAAAGTGAGAGCATTTCAATATAAATTTTGATATAAATTAAATTTTTCAAAAGCGAGATTGCTTGCAAAGTTCTATATGTATAGGTGTAAGCTCCATAATACAAAACCATCTTTAGAAGTTTTGAGGCTAAAGTGAAAGCCACTCTTGACGTACAGTTTTTGATTGCCCGAAGAAATGGTATTCTGGTAAACCATTACGAATAGTGGGAATCTTTTATTCCCGTATTAGTGTAAGCAACTCCCCTTTCTACCATTCTATCATTAGCATATTTGAATAAAAAATTGTATCATGCCACGCAAATTCGTTGGCATTTTGTGTAATAAGCTGGTTTTGATTAAACGTTCTACTTCCCTGCTCTCTGTAGTATTACGCACTATAGAGTAATTGCAATGTTACCATTGTAGTGATGTTTAGTATTGTAAGTAATGTTATTTTTAGTACATTGTGTAGTGTAAGTGGTGTAAACAAAATAAGTGCCATAAGTAATGTTTCTACTGTAAGTAGTACTGGTTTTTGACAGTAAAATTTGTTTGGAATATAAGAACGTAAGAAATGTCAGTAATTTTAGTATATTGAATAATGAATATAAGTAATAATGTGTATATTCAAATAAATAAATACATACCAATTAGTAAGAGAAAATAAGAGGACCATTATTTCCCTTTTTCAATTCCTTATTCTTAGATAATTGTTAACAAACATGAAAAAAAAGTTTATTGAAAATATGCAGATTCCATTTGGATTACCTCGAATTCCCTAAACGTGGAGTCCCTCTTTCTCGGCTCAGAGAACATCTTTAAATTGTCTCTTTTGGAGGTAAAGAAAATAATATCCTTAATATACTAAATTACTTTTAGGGATATTTAAACAATGCAAAAAGGAGACTTCCTCACAGAGTATATTCACAAAAATATTAGCAAAGATCAAGCGACTATAACTGGCAAGAATTAGATATCAGAACTGAAAATGAACCCAACTTGAAGCGGCAGTTTAAGTAGAAATGACGAATACGCACCATTGAAGAAATGTAAAATGGTTTCCGTGTTTACATAGCCTGATGTCGATAAGCTGCTTCGCGTCGTGGTTTCCTACGCTTATCTCGTGTTCTCCCAACCTCCCGCGTGTTTACATCAGGCTATGTAAACACGGAAACCATTTTACATTTCTTTTGTAAAATAACTAATGAAAGAGGAATGAAAACCGTGTTTACATACGCTCATCTAAAATGGTTTTGTGGCCAATCAGAGCGCGCGTATCATTTTATAAATGTCATCTGGTGAATAACCTTCAAGCGGTATGTAAATCCAAATTCAGTGCAAGCTTTGATTGAAATTCAAACTACTCCGCTTTCGAAACAAGACTATTTCAGTCAGTCAAGAAAATAATCTACATTTCCTTTGGGATGAAGGAGCACGGGTATAAAGATATTCTGGATGGACGAACGGACCGGAGGATAAGATATTTTGAGACACCGATTAGGCCACCATGTAGCAGGGGCAAAAACGAATGACATCATCGTTCGACATAACCATGACGTGCAATGGCGACGACTAAATTGAAGGGAGTTCTGAACTTTTTATTAGATCACCGTGTGGTCAAATAAGTTGCAATATTTAGGACAAGAACAGTATATCGTGTCTCTAGAAACATCCTCACGCACGAACAGGAAGGAAATTTCTTTTAGGGGTAACAAATTAGGGGTTGCAGAGAGGAAACAGTAACGCGATGAATGTTGATTCATCTTTCACCTGGGCAATGCTCGAGTAGGATATTGGCTTATGAGCTGCAATCGTTTGAACACACAACAGATAAGCTAGATAAGCTAGCTTTGCGTCGTGGTTTCCTACGCTTATCTCGTGTTCTCCCAACCTCCCGCGTGTTTACATCAGGCTATGTAAACACGGAAACCATTTTACATTTCTTTTGTAAAATAACTAATGAAAGAGGAATGAAAACCGTGTTTACATACGCTCATCTAAAATGGTTTTATGGCCAATCAGAGCGCGCGTATCATTTTATAAATGTCATCTGGTGAATAACCTTCAAGCGGTATGTAAATCCAAATTCAGTGCAAGCTTTGATTGAAATTCAAACTACTCCGCTTTCGAAACAAGACCATTTCAGTCAGTCAAGAAAATAATCTACATTTACTTTGGGATAAAGGAGCACGGGTATAAAGATATTCTGGATGGACGAACGGACCGGAGGATAAGATATTTTGAGACACCGATTAGGCCACCCTGTAGCAGGGGCAAAAACGAATGACATCATCGTTCGACATAACCATGACGCGCAATGGCGACGACTAAATAGAAGGGAGTTCTGAACTTTTTATTAGATCACCGTGTGGTCAAATAAGTTGCGATATTTAGGACAAGAACAATATATCGTGTCTCTAGAAACATCCTCACGCACGAACAGGAAGGAAATTTCTTTTAGGGGTAACAAATTAGGGGTTGCAGAGAGGAAACAGTAACGCGATGAATATTGATTCATCTTTCACCTGGGCAATGCTAGAGTAGGATATTGGCTTATGAGCTGCAATCGTTTGAACACACAACAGAAATGAAGGCAAGGAACTTCAGAACTCCCTTCCATTTAGTCGTCGCCATTGCGCGTCATGGTTATGTCGAACGATGATGTCATTCGTTTTTGCCCCTGGTGAAGTTTTACTATTAGCAAGCTCAAGCCGAGGTTTAGGGCTTAAGTGTTTTCAAGATAGTTAGGTCGAGTCTATCGCTCCTGAAATCTGGAAGTCGACTCGAAGAGTAACTTGAGCACCGCATAACGATCACAGTAAATGAAAAACAATGGTTATAGTTGATGTGATGTCTAACAAGATTTTAACAAGTCAATAAATGTAGATGGTTCAGTTACTCACCTTCAGATTTTTTCGGTTAGCTTATGTGATTTGAAGAGGGTTACTCGCATTCCAATACGAAGAGATCTACACTGAAGCCAAACAAAGACGTCAGAAACGCAGGTAGTCGGCATGCAAATTCGCTATAATACCAATGTCATGCACACTAGCTACGTCTTTCATTTAGCTAATCCTACCCAGTCAAGTGGCAATCGTGAGTCACGTGATATTCGTTCTCGTTCCCATACCCTTTCGTATTTTCACAAAGTCAAACGACTTTCATTCAATGGTCAGCGTCGGAAAGCCTGTTGCATTTACGAAATACGACAAAAAAAATGCTGTAGCTCGGGCTGATCTTTCTGTGCCTCCTTGTTCCAAGAACGTTTATAATGTATAAAACCAAGAGAATATTACCTGTTTAACCTTTTTATATTCTCTTGATAACACGTGACAATGTCCAAATAATGAAAGTTTCCTGGATTTTTCTAAACTGAGCTTCATAAGCAGCCCATTACTTAATGGGCTCCTGGTTTTATTCATTACTTTCGATTCAAATACCGTGCTGTCTAAAAATTTTTTGTTAGGTTTCAATTATTATTGCGGCCATCGGCACACGTATTTGGTACGCTAGAAGCTAACATTGACAAGGAATTCGAAGGGTTTACTTGGTGAAAGTTCATTTAATGAAAACTGAAACTATCCAATACAATTTTGCGATCACCTTGCGTTAATATTTTGTATTCCCAGTTTTATATTCATGATCAACCATTTTACAAGCTGTAAGTAACAATTTCGCGTCACAACTGAAGCTTGTTAAGAGATCCACAGTAAATAACAAACCATGTGGCTGTGCCATTCTTTTATCGAATGAAGTGAAGAGAAAAAACAGTTTTCAGGTCGGTGTTTCAGAATTTGCCATGCGTCTGTAATTGAGCAGAAGGGGTTTAATAAATTATGACCGTCCCATTTTAATACATCGAAAACTCAACTGTAAAGAGAAAAAAACGTTAATCATGTTAAAAAAAGGAAAGAATTGGAAAGTTCAATGAAACTGTTGTTCTAATTCTGTTTCCCTTTTCTCTCCATCCAACTACGTTAACCCCGTGTAATTCCACGGCGAGATGAGTTCAGTTAAATTTTGAAAGGCCTGGGAAGCAGTATGACCCAACAGCGACAACAATAACTCTGATTACCCAGATAGACATCGCGTATCAAGAGGGTGAAAACAATGCAGCTCATATTAAACAATCTTCTTTCGTATACTCATAAATATTGCACGACGAGAGACCGAAAAAAATTTTAAATAAAACCAAGGTAATTTGTTCCTTCTTCCGAATATTCATGGGACGTGAGGGTTGAGGCTCTAAATGTCTACAGGCTTATGGGTTATTGGTCAAGCAGTTTACTGCGGGCAGCAGGCGCCTAGATGATTGAGTGCATGGGTCTTAGCATTGTGAAAGGCTAGTCCGATCAACTGTCAACTCATCCAAGGGAGAGACAGAGAAAGACCGGAGGGGGAGGGAGGGAGGGAGTTTTGTATTTCTTAGATACTTAATACTAAATGGGATACGTTACCAGGCCAGCTGTTGTCCTTCCTTAAACCTTAAAAATGCATAAATGCGCTAAAAATTACTCGTTCTTTTCAGTAACGTCAAACTATGTCTCCATTTTTCAAATGTGATTTGGTGGTTCTGGGGGAAAAATTATGTTTCATAGTTGCAGAGTAACGGGGACACCATGTATGTTTGATATCATGAGCTTGATCCGGTCTTTACTTTGAATAGTTTATTTTCTGTGCATTTCTGAGAGTAAATCTGAAATTTGAAATTAGGGAGGTCATAAGGAAGGTCATTTATTTGAATTTTGGATATAATTCAAAGTGTAAATATCACAAGAATTTTCTTGAATTTTTTAATAATTAATCTTGAGTTTAGAAAATATAATACTCAGATACCGACTGTTAGTTCATTGACATGATCTTTATACGCAAAGATCTTTTTTGAGCCGAACAAATTTTCTGTTTTTCTTATTTCTCTTCGGGAACATCGGTTTCAACATAATCGGTTACCGTCAAATTTTACCACAAGCGCTGAAGTTTATTCTCATGTTTGTACCTCAGGCGAAATTATCATCGGGATACCGCTTTAACAAACACATCTTTGCGATATTACTTTCAGGATCTTAGATAAACAATGCAGGTGCCAATGTTGAAACAAAAACCTCGTCGCCAAATCAATTAACAAAAAAAAAATTGATAAAAAAGTTGCGCTGGTGAGAGGAATTGAAATTAACGATCAGTCTGGGAAGACTTGAAATAAACCATAACTGCGACCTTCGGAGAGAGCTGAAAACGCAAAAGTAAGTTTCTCTAATAATGACTGAGTGCCTTGTATTCCAAAACAAAAACTTTGAAATTTAAATTAAAAATCTGTTGGTGGGAAAATGAATACTTGCTATTTTTAAAGTAAGAATCCTTGATATGTATAATTCTGAAGTTGCCCGCGCCAATCTCAATTTTAGGGTGTACATATTGAGACAAATAACCTTCAAATTGCCGAAACCGCTCGATACAACTTACTAAATGCTGTATCTTTCAAGCGCCAATGATTGGCGAAATTCGTACCAGGTTAAAAATTGAATTCATCAAAAAATCTCATTTTCGGTGTTTTAATTTAAAAGCTTAGACAAAACACGATTTGCAAAAATGTCACTCATATCCGTTATAATCAATCATTAGTTACAGTTTTACGTTAAATCTTTACATAAAGAAAACGAAAAAATTTTTTAAATGTTTCATGTCAGTGAACCTGCTACCAGTCATTCATATGAAACTATACCGGATAATTTTATCGTTAACTCAGGCTGGTTCTCTAAGATCAAATTTTAAGGCCGAAGAGTTACCCCGCCTCGAAAAGAGAGTTTAAATTAAATAACTTTTGTAATTCTTGAGAAATAATAGCTCGCTGAATTAGCAATGAAATTTATAATATTCAGTGACGTACTTTTAGTAATTCTTCAGAGTGACTTTTCAGCACTTCCAATTATCAAACTAAATGCTCAAAAGGTATCCACCGGCGTAAATAATAAAAGTGATACTACTGGCATTAATGGTAGGGCTCTAAAACGCCTCTTTCATTCTACATTGGCAAGTTTTTTGGGGAGTAATCTTCACGAATAAGTTTTGTTGAAAAATTAAAGGTTTTCCTTTCAGGCAGAAACAGTCGTCGTGGAACAAAAACAAAATGCCCTTAAGATTGAAATGCAAATTTTGCGCAACGTGCATTGCTTTCTGTAAACAATAAGTAGATTCATTACCTTCCGTAAATCAATAACCCACATAAAACTTTTTAAGTAGTATCACACCCTAAGGAAAGTCCCATAATAGGGAATTTTTAACAACGGCCACCACAGCCCTTACATAGGGTCTGAGAGGAAACCATTGAAATTTTTCTAAGAACGACATTTTTTCCGCTTAATTGTAAAACAGCGGGTTCCGATTTCCCAGGTAATCTTAAATAATTCGAAAGAATGAATGCGCTTACCCCTTTTTTCGCTTTTCATGTTTAACGTGCTGGAACTAGACACGTTATAATGAAGACACATTCCACTTAGATTTATAACTAGCGGTGAGAAAGCTACCTCTGTTATTTGGTTGAAATAACGCTTTAACCGAAAACCTTAGGGCTTTTTTTTTCATTACCAACAGCTGCCAGCAAGAAGGAATTGAGTAGAATCAACTTAGTTACCACAGAATCCTACGCGCTAACAGAAGGAAACGGCCGCGAGAACTGACACTAAAAGAACAGCTGTAAACAATTCTGGTGAGTTTTTTTCTTCCCTGCCTATTGAGAGTTAAATGAGAGCTGTCAATTCGTCAAGTCGCTCAGGGAAAATATGAAAGGCATTAAAGTCGCTGGGCATGTTCTGGGACCCTTCGAGATTTTTCAGCTAACTATTATAAACCACAAAATTCCATTTAGACCTTTTTGCTAGAATCAAATTTTCTACCTCAGTTATTGACTCGTGTGTTGATTGCCTGATCAATTCGACTATAAGCATCATTTGGGGAATATTTATCATTTCATTGGCGGCTTTTTTTGAAAACTTTAAATAAATTTACACGAAAATGACACGTGAACGCAAATTTGAAAACTAGTGGTTGCATAAAAAAACATTCTGCACCACTGAACTAAATTATCTCATTAGTCACTTTCTCGCTCAAAGAGCTATTTTTCTTCTATTAAAGGATCTTCAGCTTAGTAGAGGATACATCCCTTTAAACACATTACTGCAATCATGAAATATCTGATAATTACCAAACCTGCGATCAATCAATCGTGAAATGAAAGGTTTTAGAATGAACCGAATTGGGTTTTTTCCTATTTAATTATCGGTAATTATTTTGTGTTTTAAAGGTAAAATCAATCTTACGTAGGTGCTGTCATCGAAAGTCAGAATAAGGTACGGTAGAAACCCACAAAGAAACACATCGGCTCAGAAGCAACGGGGGAAAATTACCGTGCGCTGCGGGAATGTCGAACAACACGGAAGCCGAGATGACGAGCTCTATCGAGCAAAACGTTAGCCTAGGTTTCTACATCGCCATCATTGTAACTGGTTTAATGGGCAATAGTTTGGTGATCGCTGTCATTTCTGGCAAGAGGAGCAAAAGGTCCATATATGATCTGTTTATTTTGAATCTTGGCATTGCCGACTTGTCGTTCATCATCTTTTACATGCCAATCCTTATTTACGAGGGGTATATCAACATCATTTACAAAACTGTCTATTATTGTCGACTTGTTCAGCCTTTGTTGACAATCTTTTATTTCTTGAGCATCTTCACCATCTCTTCCATGGCAATCCATCGTTGCAGGCTGATTACAAATCCGTACAAACCCAAAATGAAAAAACGAAGTGGTTACCTGTGGATCGCTGCTATCTGGCTCTCTTCTTTAATTATCATGCTGCCATTGTCCATTGTCACAAAATCGAAAAACGGGCGATGTAACGAGGAATGGCCATCACTGAACCATCGCAAAGCCTACACACTGGCTCTTTTCATTCTTCAGTTTGTTATTCCGCTTCAGATAATCGCTGCAGCAAACCTTAAAATCGGCATCTACTTGTGGCGCTCACCTGTTCCGCAAAGTTCCCTTTCCACTGCCAAGAAGAAGCGGGCACAGAGGAGAAAAAGGGAGAACATGCAGGTTATCAGAACACTGGCTTTGATCGTGATTCTGTTCACCATCTGCTTACTGCCGGGTCAAATTGGTTATCTTTTGTGGGAATTTGGAGATGAAGAAGACCATGCCACGATGGACATCATTTTCAAATTTGCCATTATTCTTGATTGCTTCCACGCTTGTGTGAATCCGATCGTTTATGGACTGATAACTGAACAGTTTCGCAAAGAATACATCAGATATCTGTCGTTTTGTCTTACATGCGGCACAAAACAGGTGAACACAATGCAAGAGACCCACAACGCAGAGAGCACAATAGAAATAATTTCGCCGTTGACAACAAAAAGAAAACTTACCAACGAGGATGTAAAGACGATACCGAATGATCTGAACGAGCCACAGTATTCCAAAAACACAAATTCACACATAACGCGATCCTCGACAGCCTGCTCCTCTACGCTGCAGGAACCAACCCTTATCAAATATATTTATACACCGACTGACTGAGTACATGATGTTATTAGCTGTGACCCAGTACTTCGACTGTGACTTTTCCAACCTCGTCTCCAAGCCCTTTTGCTTTAAGCGGGGCCCTGTGAGGGAGATCAGTGGCCTGTTCTGTTTCACTCATTTCAGTTCAACCTTGCGTAAATTGCTGTCATGTGCTGTTTAAGAGACACAGGGTTTTCTTCACGAATGTAAAATCATTGATTTGATCGTGAAAAAAAGCTACTGCTGTAATCAACTGTCTACGACAAAAGAAGCCTGTGAAGCAACCCACAACTTTTTGGAAAGTGGGGAAAAGTGGATCAGTACGTACTCACAGCCTAGGAACTACATTATTACTTCAAAACTTTTAAGTTAAGCTTTTCATGCAGTTAATCGCTTCACAGAATATCACGAAAGTATTTAGGTTAACTTGGGTTGCAACCAGCTAAATTCTTACCTTATAGCCCTTCAAAGAAGAACAAGCAAAACACCTCTATCTTAAAGCAGACTGCGGTAAAAAAGGAATTTCGTTTTCGTGGAATTCTACCTGAAGGCTAGCTGAGGCTGCTACATCTTTCGCAGGCTGTGGTCAGTGGCCTACGGAGTAACTTTTTTAATCGGAGAAATTTTGCCTTGAAGAGGTTTGGATTGAAACATGGGGAGACTGACTGAGTTTGAGCGGTATTAACTATTTTTTAACTCAATGGGAACTGGATGAGTTCAAAGACTGTTGCATTGCCACGGACTATCGGGCCAGTTTAACTGATTTTAATCGCGGACTTTCCTTTTAAATATGATTAGACCCTCAGAAATAAAATTAAAAGGGCCCTTTGTAGTGCATAAATAGGACGTGTTCCGGATATAAACCATTGGTTAGATTACGGTAATTTATATTTATCAGTTTTCCAAGTAAAAATGCCGTCGGATGAGAAATGTCTGTTGAAATATAAGGCCTTAGCATTTTTGGTTTAGAATAAATTTCCACTAAATAAAGTCTGTCGGATACAAGTAGTGAATTTCGTCGTAGAAGACTTATTGTCAAATAAGAATAAATAACACCAGTGCAAGGGATATTTCAATCGATAGCACGTGTTCAAAGTATTTCAATATCCGTGAGAGAACAATATTGTGGATGGTCAACTTAAGTCACCGTTCATATATTTCACATTTAATTACTTTTGTCAGATCAAATGCGAGTCTCTTCTACATTATTCCTAATCTGGTTTAGCACCCTTTACAAATATTTCCAATGTAAGTACTCTGATAATAAACGAGAGCGTTTGCGTCAAGTGAAATTGGTTAAAAGAAACTTACTTTTGGGAAATCAAAAGCAAGCAGCACTTCTGGCCGGCGACCTAGAAATTCTTCATTTATTCCTTACTCAGGTGACAGGGTTCACTCACTCTAATTCCTGTCGAGAGGAGGACCCAGGGAATGAGGCAATGAAGGGTGGGGGGGAGGGAGGGGCACAGTATGAAATACACAGTGGTGCGGGTACGGGTTTTCACAGCCAAAAACCCGCCCAAGTGGAGTAATACTGGCATGCAGTCGCTTTAAGCTGAGGACATGGGAATAACCTGTGTTATACTCGTTTGTAGACATTATATACAGTGTGGTCTTTCGGGCCTCAAAGCTAGTCCATAGGGGCTAGATTTGGCCTCCGCCATTTACCCCTTGAAGTAAAAGCTGTTATTTGAGGTGGACTGTTTAGGAATGCATCTCAAAGGGTGCCCCGATCTAAAAAAGACAATGAACGCAGGTACATTGCGTTGCTAATTGTAAGAGAATCGGTTCTCTGCCTCAATCTGAGATATGTTTTATTATCACCGGTACTGATCTATATCCTCGGGTGAGTACAAATAGGCTGTGCTGAGAGAGTAAAATATCCTGACAAAGAACAGAACACCATAACCTGGCCAGATCCTCGACCCAGACTCCTCGTCCCAGAGTCTTGCGCGAGCCATTAGACCTCTGCGTCCCTCACAAGAGATACCGCTGAACAGACACCATTTTAAGACTAATCAATTTGTCCTTGAGTGGTTCCCATATGCGTACTTTGAATGTCTCAAAGTTTTGTGTTGTACTCGTTCTGATCCGGCATCATTTCAACTACGTCTTTGCAATTGGGTGGTTTTGTTCTGTTGGTTTCAGGCGATAAAATCCCATCTGGGCTCTCCAAATCGTCGTTGCGACGTACAACGTTCTTTTCTTCTGTGCCGCATGACAGACAAAACGAAAGATATCTGATGTATTCTCTGCGAAACTGTTCAGTTATCAGTCCATAAACGATCGGATTCACACAAGCATGAAGGCAATCGAGAATAATGGCAAATTTGAAAATGATGTCCATCGTGGCATGGTCTTCTTCATCTCCAAATTCCCATAAAAGATAACCAATTTGACCCGGCAGTAAGCAGATGGTGAACAGAATCACGATCAAAGCCAGTGTTTTGATAACCTGCATGTTCTCCCTTTTTCTTCTCTGTGCCCGCTTCTTCTTGGCAGTGGAAAGGGAACTTTGCGGAACAGGTGAGCGCCACAAGTAGATGCCGATTTTAAGGTTTGCTGCAGCGATTATCTGAAGCGGAATAACAAACTGAAGAATGAAAAGAGCTAGTGTGTAGGCTTTGCGATAGTTCAGTGATGGCCATTCCTCGTTACATCGCCCGTTTTTCGATTTTGTGACAATGGACAATGGCAGCACGATAATTAATGAAGAGAGCCAGATAGCAGCGATCCACAGGTAACCACTTCGTTTTTTCATTTTGGGTTTGTACGGATTTGTAATCAGCCTGCAACGATGGATTGCCATGGAAGAGATGGTGAAGATACTCAAGAAATAAAAGATTGTCAACAAAGGCTGAACAAGTCGACAATAATAGACAGTTTTGTAAATGATGTTGATATACCCCTCGTAAATAAGGATTGGCATGTAAAAGATGATGAACGACAAGTCGGTAATGCCAAGATTCAAAATAAAGAGATCATAGATGGATCTTTTGGTCCTCTTGCTAGAAATGACAGCGATCACCAAACTATTGCCGATTAAACCAGCTACAATGATGGCGATATAGAAACCTAGGCTAACGTTTTGTTCGGTGGAGCTCGTCATCTCGGCTTCCGTGTTGTTCGACATTCCCGCAGCGCACGGTAATCTTGCCCCGTTGCTTCTGAGCCGATGTGTTTCTTTGTGGGTTTCTATCGTATCTTATTGTGACTTCGATGATAGCACCTACGTAAGGTTGATTTTACCCCTAAGACACAAAATTATTACCTATAATTAGCTAGGAAAAAACTCAATGCAGTTCTAGAACCTTTCATTTCACGATGATTGATCGCAGGTCAGGTAATTATCAGATATTTCATGATTTCTCTAAACGTTTTGTTCAGTAGAGCTCGTTACCTTGGCTTCCGTGTTGTTCGTAATTCCTGCAGCGCACGGAAATTTCCCCCCCCCCCTTTTTTTTTTTAATAAACTCCGGTGTGTTCCTTTTCGGCTTGCTCCGGCCAAAGAATGCTCCACTGTTCTTAAAGTTAGTGTACGGAAGTTAAGTGTTCCATTTAAGACGAAAGCGCCTGTGTTTCAAATTAGCAGTCTACAGCAAAAGCGATCATCCAAAATTATTAAGAAATGCGCTTTCCACCAACTAAACCAACAGGTGACAATTAATCCTCGAGTCCGTTTCACCGGGGACAATTCAAACTTCAGAATAGACTGTTAGGTCCGCTGACAGACCCGTTCTTGAAGATCTCGGCCGCTTAGCATGGGTAAAGAAAGATAAGGCAAAGCCGGAGAAAGAAGACAGAAAGAGATTCTGACTGACTTTTTGACAGGTTTCCTCTCTGGCGCCGACGTGATGTCTCTTACAACGTTGGAGACTAATTTCATCGCCAAGCATTTATATAAAGCATATCAAATATTTATGATGGGATCTTAATTCGTGTTCATCCATCTGTCGGATACTCATCACGCCAAAAACCCTAAAACCGTCAGGAAATGCCAAAATTGCGGTGAAAACAATTCACAATTTACTCTGTCAACAAAATTATTTGAACTCAGGTTCGCTATCGACGCAATAATTTTCACAACTACGTCTGCAAGTGCTCAGGTAAAAATTTGCATACGACTCCTCTTAATCGGACCAGTTGACCGAGTACCAGAAAAATATTCACAACGCCAGAAATCTATTTTCAGATTATTGGTCAGAAATCTATTTTCTCCCAAAACTAACCTCTTCGCGTTGTTATCAACTTACCATTTCAGGGATATTAAAATGCAAAAAGAACAAGAATGCTTCCGAGCAGAAAAGGCGGATTTAACGCTACCTGCAACGCCTTGACCAAACTAAGCGACAAAAAATGAAACAAAAATGCCTCAAAGGACGGTTAATTTTTTCAGTGTGCTAAGCTTTATGTTCGAAGTTAAACTTTACAGAAAGGAAGTCTTTACGTCGTTTCCTACGTGATAAACATCACTAATTTACTTGCTTCCACTGCCACAAAAAATTCTTCGTTCAATTTCGCCCAGCTGACGGCACCTTTTGTCAATTTATGATGTACAAATTTGTTAAATAAATTTTCTCTGCGTGTTTTAAAGTACCAATTTAATCTTTGAAAAACAAATGCAAAGTTTTTCATTCTATCTGACTGGTCATTATCTCTGCATGGCAAATAAAGGAAATAAATTTGAGAATACATGGATTACACGCCAAGCACAACGGCTTTAACAACAAGGAGTGAAACAAATGATGTTCAAAGGACGAGTCATATGTTCTAGAGGTGCCGAGCGTTTTATTGAAATACTTAGTTTTATCGAAAGGAAGTCAATGACATGTTTGCTGCGTGACATTTTTTATGATCAAAATACCAAATAACAGCGTTTCTGACAAAATAGCAGACAAGGCAATGTTTGCATTTACTTAACATGAAGTTATGAATAATATCAAACCGTTGCCCCCAGCTAAAAATAGAGACCTTTAGCAGTTATGACAACAACGCCAAGGAGGACGTCAATTTAAAAATTAACACATATTTTCAGTTGGAATTTCGCGAGTGACTGGATGTGCTTACCATCTCTTATGGCGCCGCAAGTTAACCTCAGCATAACGTATAAGAGCAGCGTTGAGTTTCAAATGGAAACTTAAATAATCTGCCGTCGGGGTTTCCTTTCTCGGACCACGCAAATTTTGATGATTTCACGTTGTTATTTTGCAGAGGACGGCTAAGAAATGTACACAGTTTTAAAACGCACGTGCTGAGCTATTGTTCTGCTCTTTAGATCTTTTGTTTTGTCACGTCCTTGTTTCAGTCGCCGTCGTGGTTTGCTAGAGGTCCCTAATAATCATAAAACGGAAGTGTTACAGATCATCATACTTTTAGTTCAAGGAAAATTCTACAATTTGTAAGTTACGTGGTCATTTATGTTTCAGTTAATCAATGATGGAAGGATTTCCAAGCTGTCAGTGGCCAATTACATGCCTTCAACAAAAATAACAAAGCTTGACCGTTTATAGGGCGAAATAACCGAAAATGTTGGCAAAGCAATGGAAATTCGTACCGTTTGGGACGTTGCTAGGGGGGGCGTAAGGGCACGAACGACCACTTTCGCTGTCAAGAAAAAGTTTAAATTTATTGTTAATTTTACAACCTGCCATCCTTCCTGATGCTAGAAGAACACTTGTGTAGTGATCCCTTTAAACTCCCCTTGTCTTTTTTCCTGGTGCGTCTTATCTAACAACCTAAGCATTATTCAGTTCACACTGCAGTGTTTCATTCACTGCTTTCTTGCTCTGAGTTTGATTCCTCCACATCTCCCTCTCTTTTGATTTCTACCCTAATCAGACCAGTGGACAATGCGTACAGTGTCATGACCAGTGTAGCAAAACCAATGGCCAACCATTTATTACGCCGTTCAGATGAGTCCGAGTCATCCTGACCGTATGGCGATGAAGACGGTTGTTGTTGTTCTGATAGTTGAAAAGGAAAACAGCAAATAAATCTCCTACGTTAAATATTTTTTCGCCACAAGCGGTCAAGGCTTTAAGGGAGCCATTTAAATTTAAATACCATATTTCATCGAATAAGCGCCTACGCTCTAATAAGCGCCCTCCCCCGTATAAGCACCCACCCCTAGGCCATAATGTCAAACAAACGCCCTTCTCAGATAAGCGCCCCCCTCCTCCTCACTTTCTAAAATAGTAGGGATTCAAGGAAAACCTGTTTCTATTGCCGCTTTATTTATAACTTTTAAAGCTTCGACTACAGCGGAATCCGTACAGGAGAATAATAAATGCCCTCCTTCCAATAAGAGCCTCTCCTTTGAGCCGAAATTTTAAATAAGCGCCTGGGCGCTTATTCGAGGAAATATCTTATCTCAAGGTCTTAAAGACTAAAAGTTGGAAGAAAGTGACAAACAGTACCCTTTTTTAAAGATTACAATTAAGAATGACGTAGTTGTCTTTTGTTTGCTCGCCTCTAGTTCTCATACAAGGAAAGAGCTCCCTCTTCGGGCCTCTGCACAATCGCTTGATAAAACCGACCTTTCAACTCGTTCGCTAAAAGTCGTTTTATCTTAATACCGCTAAGTGCCGCTTCGAGTAATCATTTTCCTGAGGCTGGTTTCAGTTCAGGAAACTCTCTACTTCAAACTTCCCATAAAAGATACCGTCGTGTTTCTCCAAAATGAAAAAAAATTCGACCAATTTTGTTTACAAGTCTGTGATTTCCATTCGTTGTTAATTTTTGCCACCCGTAACCGAAAAATGCTTCCCTCTTACCATTTACTTCTCCCGGGAAGTAGCGCTGTAATATTCGTCCACAGAACGTACACAAGTTGTCGTATCCTTGTAGATAGTTATACAGTTTTTTATTTGGTAATGGGGCTTTCCAGATCACTGCAAGATGAGCAAATACCACAGCATCAAGGGTGGTTGGACTGTAAGGAACAAAAGATTTTTTTATGTTAACCCTTTAATCACTAGAAGTGATCTACATGCAAATTTCAAAACACTATCCTACAAACAGGCAATGAGAATTTACATACTTATCAGCTAAAGGGTGACTCTCCTATCCTGATGTAAAGCCAAATTCTCTTCATTCATTTACAAGGAAATATACAGCAAGTAGCCAGGAGAACAACAAATATATTTTGAGTTACCTGTCACCAAAAAAAAACTCCTTTCCATCCAGCATTGTGGATAACAGTTTTAGACATTCCAAAGCATCTTTGAAAAGCTGAGAGACAAAACCAAAGCCAAAATAATTCTCAAATTAAAACTGCTCTGAGAAACATAGAAAACATCATATGAAGCTTGTGTTGAAGAAGCATTTAAAGCCATTTAGATATGAGGTGGAGTGTGTACTCAAGCCCAGTCTCTGTAACATGGAACGACTAAGAGTATCGTACCTCCCCCCAGATAGGAAGTTAATCAAACATAGCTTATTCCCAAGAACTCCATCAGGTTACCCTGACAGTTAAGCAGTGCCTGTTTGTATTCCTAGCTGGAGAGAGGCATTGTGACAGTAAAGTGTCTTGCTAGGAACATAACATAATGACCCAACCAGCTCTGAAACCCACACCAATCCACTCCAATAGCAGCAATCTGCTGCTTCTCCACTTTGAAGCTGTGTGGAAAGCTGGTAATTGTGTAAATGTTTTGGTACAGTAAATATTCAAAAAAGCATTGGTAAGGCCACTTTAGATTTGGAGAACAGAGCAAGCTAAGAAAAAGTACAAACAGTTAAATGAAAGATAATAATGATAACCCTGTATGTTTTTTTTATAAAAGAGGTACGGATTACCCCCCCCCCCCCCCCCCGGCCCTTCTTTGCTATCCTGTTATGGACTTACTCCATCCTCTTTCACTTTTCATAGACATTTTATCTGTTAAAAGATATAAAGAAATAAAAGCAACAACATCCTTAACAGAGATTGAATTCCTGCAGACTATGACAAATTTATCAGACTACTATTTTAAGGCCTACCTTATTTTCCAGTGCATCATCTGTCACCTCTGAGTGCATTTCATTTGACAGGTGCCTCCTTGTTTGTCTTGAGATGTGTCCAGGGATAAAATAGTTCAGTGGAAAAGGTAATCTTTGTGCATACCATGGACGAGTTAATTTAATGTAATTTGTTTTATCCACCCATAATGTAAATAACTGCAGACCAAACAAAATTTTTATGTAATTAATTCACCTCAATTTAGTTTGAAATTTAATTTAAGCATCAACATGGTTTATTGATGCAACAATCATGACTGGCATAGTTTAGAAATAGGAATCACATTTTGTACGACTTTAACCTATTACTCTTACAGAAAGTGCATGTTCAACTTACAATTGCTGGGTACAATTTGCTATGGACCAGTGAAACAAATGCAAGAGTGTCTGCTCCCTGCTTTGCCGTCAGTTGATAATCGGCATTGAAGTTCTGTGTAGGACATAAATTTTTAAAAACCATTTTTACTGACAAGTTTTTGTGAGCGGCAAATTGCAACACAAAGAAATTTGGTACTCTGTGACTACACATAAACATACTATAGCCTTATACCTACTTTTCCTCTCAAGTAATCCATGATCTTGCTAGACGTGATGAGTACATCTTCACCAGATTTCAAAACCGGAAATTCTCCTAGAAGAAACAAATGAATTTTCTGTGAAACATGCGTATATTTCATCACTTCTCTGATCATGGACGAGCAAATCTAAAGGTAAGACATTCAGTCTATTTCAGCACCTAATAATCTTATTTGGAATCTATAGTTACTGGTTCCGACTATCTCTAGAGTTAAAGTCCTCACCTATGGAAGATTTCCAAGGGTTGTTACATCGATTGACATTTAACGGGCATTCAGCAAATTTAGCGTAGGCCTATAACAAAAATGGAGAAGCTAAGAAATGTTATTATAGATCTGGGCGTAAAGGAAGGCAGTTTACCAACCAAAACCTCCAAACAGCGGACGTCCACAGAGGGGAGATTCCAATCACCGGACCAAGACAGAACCTCCATTTTGAATTTAGCACAGATTCCCCAGCATTCTCTTTGTTCCTTGTTTCGGCGTAAGACTGGATATGATATTACCGAACTAGTACCCAGGTGGTGCTCTGTAACTGGCGAGACTGAAGATTTTGTTTGCGCAATTTTCGAGTCATTATTTCCGTTAGGGTTCGTAAATTTTCGTCGGCTCCGTGGTGAAAAGTTCTCAGTTGACTTTTTGAAACCCGCTATAGCCACGATTATTTGTTTGTTTTCTTCGGGAACTGATTAGAGTCAGACAGAATTCTACTTTATTTTTTTCAGGGAGGGGAGGGCGGAAGGTGCTTGTGGAAGCGAGATGGGGATATAGCAAAGTAATTCGTCTCTGTTTGTTGCAATTAACCTTTTATAACGGTTTAATAGCACTGGCGCACCAAATATGCTTAACCAGTTTGGGAATTGCAAGGATTTTCCTTTTGGAAAATGATCAACACAAGAACTTGATTGACAGGTGGTCAGTTTATTCATACTGCAGACAAAAACTGCATGGTCAACCTACTGCATACAAAATCTCACCTCAATGAATACATCTTAAAAAGAAAAGACTCCAAGTTTTACTGGCAAACCAGAAAAGTACAAAACATACAAGATATTTTAGAAAAGAAGAAAAGTGAAAATGTTAGAGAAAAATATTTTCCAGTCTGCCCTTTAGAAAAGTTAAGGAAATTCCACGCACAAATTGCATTCAAGTACTTGACCTGTTCACCTTGTCTCATAAGGTAAATCTTTGAGCAGGTCCTTTAAAACTTTCCCTTTCAGAAAAATGCACACAATGTATCACTGGAATGCATCAACACCACTATCTTTTTAAGCCCCACACAAAATATATTATTCTCATTCTAAAAATTAAGTTTAATGAACAAAATGTTTAGGCTGCTGTTATGATAAAAGCTTTAGAAGCCCTTGTACACTGAAGATTTCATTCAAAATAAATACAATGGAAACGTAGTTTACCTTAAGCAGAATGTGATGATAGAATGTAGACAATCAATTGGAGTATTGAAAATTTGGGTTAAAAAATTGTACTACAAACAGGTTTTACAAATAAAAAAGTACTTTGGCAAGTTCTTTTTTCTACACAAAAAGATATAGCTCATAATTTTATTTTGTTCTTCAAACTGAAGGACTGACTAAAAAGCTCAAAATCAGTTGTTACAATTGAAAAGTTGTAGCACTACTGAATTACACAACCTTTGCTAGTTTCACCCTAAAGAAGAAGAAAAAAAAAACTATTAGTCACTTTGATAATGATAATAATGCATCTATATAAAGCATTATCCATTGTACTATACTCTAATGTTTTTTAAAACACTCTGTGGGAGATTTTGGCCAGGCTCTTTTGAGCAGTTTCTTATTTTATAAAAGGAAATTTAACATGTGCCCCCAGTTTAGGAATTTTTCAGAAACAAGGCCAGATAATAGGGCAGCACATTCTCCTTCGCTATTTTAACACCCTGATTGTTGGTCTGGACTAGCTCTGCATAGAACTCTGGAGATGAGGCTCACAGTGATCCTCTAATGCTTGACCAACAGACTCCACTGAAAAGGGGGAACTGCTTGAAGTCTAACATGAAGCTAAAGCAACTATCAATTGGGTGCAACAAGAGCAGCCATGTCTTACCTCACGTTGTCCAGACATCATACTTTGTCGCCGACTGTCAATTTCATCAGTCCTAATGCTGACTTCTTCAATAATTGCAGAAGCTGCTTCCTACAAGAAATATATGGAGTTATCAATAAGAAAACTGGGCTTCAACAAAATAGCACCATTTCCTCTCCTCAAAAAAAAGAAAAATAATAATGAAATGTAGATTGTGTATCAAATTTACTCAAACAGGCTTTTGCAGCACGAAGATTCAGGGGTCAAAGTCCACCCAACAAATAGAATACTGGGTTGTGGCGAGACAAGACCAATCAATTAATCCAAGCTAAGCTTGCCTTCCACATTTTCAAGCATTTCTTGTGACTCATATATGATATGCCTCAAATTGTTATTGACTCCACAATTCGCTGTATTTTTGGACTTAAAACGTGTTTAGGATCATATAGTGCGACAACCTGGCAAGCCCATCTAAGTTAAAGGGGATCTGCTTTGGAATCCCTTGTCAGGAATTACAGCCTATGTCCCAATAATACTTTTAATCATTGTTCCTTGAAGTATTTTAGTATTATTCTTTTTGACTTTTACGGATTACACCCTACACCATTCACCCCTGACTGTGCCATGCCAACTACCAACATTATTAGCTCTTACAGAACCTGACAACATCAGAAATGGTAAGAGTAATAATACCTTGCTCCAAGATGAAAGCCTCCGAGTTTAAAAATTTACATACCTTTAATTTTCATTTAAATTTGTAGCAGGGAACTGTATACAATTGAAAACTATGATATATTTACAAATTTACAAAAATAAAAAGAACAAGGTTGATGGATTTAGGTGGCCACATCTCCTGAGAAATTATTTTATTGATCATAAACCTGATGGATTCCTTTCTTGAAAACAAAAATGATTTTACTGGTCTAGCTGACCAATTCTGTCTAATGCAAGGTGCCCTAGGTCTTTCAATATCTGTATATGAACTGCACAAAATATAAACTGCTTAACAATGGTTGTCAATGATATCAATAAACTGTTGTTATAAAGTTCTTTTATCTAATCAGTTGGCTCTGTAATGAAAATGAGCACAGTCCAAATATCTAAAGGGAATTCCAACTTGACTGGAAAGTAACTGAAGTTCAAAAATTTCCTCTTCTACATCCTCATCAGCAAATTGACAAACACAGACACAAACCTGGCCATCTGCATCTTTCAACACTGTTTTTGTTTCTTTACCAACACCCCAGCTGGCTTTCTGTCTAAATACCAGTTCTGAAGGTGGTTTATGCTGGCCGCCACCTTGGGATGCCCAAATCTAAAATGAACAAGTTATTTCTTGATTAAAATGATATCAGAAAGTTTCAATGGAAGCATGAATGGCACAGTGCAGAGAGAGTGCCTTCTGGCAATGTAGCCCAGGTAAAAATTACCTACATTTACCTCCCCCTAGTCCTTGGGTTTTCCGTCCACAGAAAGAAGACTAACACACTAAATTCACACTCAGATAGCTGCAATTGTGCCTTCAAATGAGTTCTTTTAATTTGCATTCCATGCATAAACAAAATACCATTTACCATTTTGTTTCTGCTTGTTTTCTACCTTAAATCATCTAAATTCTCAAAGGGTAAGTTTATGACAATATTTTGGAGCAATTTTTATACTTAGCACATTTCAGGAAAAGCTATCTGTATTTAACCTACAGACTATGGTATAAGTAAATTTTTCAGCTTTCACTTCCACCCTGACTACTGCCATAGACAAGACATATTTCAAGTGAATTCCAAAAGAAAAAAGAAGCATTTTAGATTTTTTCTTTCCCTTTTGAACACAAACATAAACTAAATTAAAATATATTTTCTGTTAGAAATAAAGCATGGGTATTCTTTTTCTCCCTGGTATCCCCTACCTTCCATTGATCTTAGATAGTAAACAAAATGTAAAATCACTTACTGTTACATAAAATCCACTTTTCAAGACATATTTCGGTGTGAACTTGTAGATTACAGGTGGTTCCCCATCTACTGATTTTTCCAAACTCCAGCCACCAAGAGGCATATCCTAGGAAGAGAAAAGATTTAGCAAGTAATTAACTATAATCAAAATCTTCCAAAAAAAATTAATCCAAAAAGACGGTAATCTGCACTTTCATAACCCTTAACACAGATAAGGAACCCAAAATTGAATGCAAGAATGGGAGAAAAAAAAGGTAGGGATTTAACAACCAAAGGCTAAAAACTTTCTTCCACCAAAAATTTTACATTCTGGAGTAACTCCCAGTCTGCGAAGTTTAACTAAAATTAACATTTTCCAATTCTTAAAACAAAATAAACATTCATGAAAACTCATCAGCTTATCATGAATAAATTGAAAGACTCACATTGGCTCCACTGTTGAACAGCTTGACAAAGGTACCATCTGTACTTGCCTCTTTTATCTGAATGTAACCTTTGTTTGAATACTTAGTTTCTACAGTCTCTTCCTCTGTGCGGATTCGCTTAGCAGCACGTCTGCCACTTTTTGCAGAGGCTCCAAATACTGGAGAAGCTGGGGGAGTTATGTTCAACCTGAAGGATAACTGTGCCTGTTAGAAACTTAACATTTATTTTCATACTACTCTCTCTTATGGACTAATAACACTTGGCAACAACCCCAGGGTTGTGGCTAAGGAAACAATAAACGAGAAATGAGCCTGCTCAAAGAGAAATCTTGTCACAAAATATTGGTCCCAGTCTCTTCCATTACCCTTCACAGTAAGGCTACCAAGCTTCATATTTTACAAGATGGCCAATGCAGGACATTGAATGAGAACAATGCAAACAACTGATCATAACTGGATTTTACTCAATATGTCTTATTTGTTTAAGTGGCACTGGTACTCAAGATGGCAAGGAGTTTACTTAATCCTTTTCACTGAGATTTTTTTTGATACAAACAGTTGTGTATGTATGACCTAAAAAATATTCACATCCCTTTACTAAGTAATCACCAGCCAAAATCCAAGTGGCAACCCTGATCCATTTATTACTATTTTAAAACTAACAGAACACAGTTTCAATGCACCTTGATTCCTCTCCTTCTAACATCTTTCTGTAAGTCAAAATCTCCAGATCAAGAGCAGTCTTCACTCCCATAAGATCCTCATATTCCCTGAGTTGAGCATCAATTCTCTTGCGTAGTTCTTTGATTTGTGCATCTCTGTTTGCTATCGCCTCATCAGCTATCTTTTGGTCACTAGCACGCAAACTTTCTAAGTCTTCAATTCTTTGTAACAAGCTTGAATTCTGTGGGTTTGAAAAAGGTTAGCAACTATTATTTCAAGTTTAAGACTTCTGCTCTCTCTAATAGAGTCTGATTCACCTTTCAAAAACACAAAAAAGTTTCAACATCA